TACTCCTGCTAAGCAGCAGATCTACTACTGTACACCAACTCCTCAGATGGAGTCCTGCAACCCTAAGATATTGATTCACAGCTCTACTTCTCTGCCTCTTCAAATTTCACATTCTTTCTCTCTTTCTCTCTCACACATACACAGGCACTAGGTAAGAGTACAGGAAGTTCTATTTGCAAAGACCCCAGATTTAATTTCTGGCATCTCTAGACAGGCCTGGAAAAATTCCCTTTCTGAAACCCTGGAGAAAAGCTGTTAGTCAGTAGGAACAACACTGAACCATAAGTACCAGTCTTCTGATGCAGTGCCCTCCCCACTCAAGCAGCAGCTGAGTTTGTACCAGGGCTGGAGGTGAGACACCAAATTAGCCGGTGTTCCTGGCCAGGCCAGGCCAGGCAGGGTGTTGCTATGTCTCCTTTCTGCTACACCCAAGCTGCTGAGGCAAGTTGTTCTCTAGAGTAAAGAACTGATGGAGGGGATCTTGCACTCTTGCGTCTCCCTCTGAGGCTGGGAGGAGAGATGGTTACTGACACAGAAAATTCTAGGAGGGGAAATACCAAATGGCAATTGTGTCCAGTAAGGCCAATATTGGGACTTTTCCTTTCTCATTTTGGTAAACTGCCCAGAGAGCTTTGGCTGTGGGATGGCATAGAAATGAAATGAATAATAAATTCTAATAATAATTTCTCCCCTGATTTAAAGAATATCCTTTCCCTTTCACTGGCAACTCTTATTTTTTAGATTTATATTCCACCATTTTTTAGAACAAACTCAGAGTGGCTTATATAAGTCTCATCCTCCTATTCTCAGTCTTATCTCCATGACAACAACCCTGCAAAGGCACTTAGAGAGCTTGCTATCTAAGCAGGGTGCTGGATCCAGCTCTCACTTGCCCAAGTTCCATGCTTCCTTTGTTATTTGCCTACCAAACTTACTGGACTCTGTATAAAATTCCATTAGAGAGGCTGGGTGGGCACTGACATGATAAAAGATCTGGAAGTACCATAAAAACTAGCTCTGCAGCATGGTAATCAATACACAGGGTTACACTGCATGGAACTAATCTTGTTCAATTTAGAATTGCTTGTAGAGGACGCTGATGTGTGATCTTAGACTTTTGGAAGAAGAGAGTTTCAAAACTAGAGTTCAATCTGATGCTGCCTATCTAACTACCATTATTTTTCATATGTACATTATAACTAAGCTCTACTCAAATGATGTTTTCAGCTGGTCAGAAATTACACTGGAATGCAGATATAGAAGCAGTATCTAACGTGTATAGAAGCCAATCACTTCTTCCTTTTCTCTTACTACATTCTAATAAAGACTCTGTGCATGTGTGCGGGTGTTATCCAACACTATATATTATTCTCGATCAAAGTATTCTACTGCCTGCTAACCTTTGGAGCATCCTTCCACTATGCTGGCAAGTGGCCCAGAAACAGCAGCTGGTGAGTCTGATTGCAATCGGGAGTCCATACATAGTAAAGCCTAAACTCTATGAGATGAACACATCAAATTGTAGAGTGCAAACTACATGTAATAGCATCTTTCAAATAGTAGATCACATGACATGTAGAGAAAGCTCCCGCACTAGATACAATTTTGGCCGCTGTTCAGTGCAATGCTCATCTGAATCCTATTTTCTGTGTGATTAAAGATTATCCTCAGTCGTAAAAATCTTGGGTCCAGAAACATTTTAAACCAATCTCATCATGCAGAGCACAATTAGAATTTTCAAATACGTTCAGTGCCAGATCATTTCTTCCCCAATTCACATCACTGGTTTTAGAGAAAGAATTGGCTTTAATACTTTAGACTTCCTTTTCTGAGCAGTCCTTTTGTTCCAGATACAGATGGAATAGTGCTACCAGTACCTATCAAATATTAAAGAATAAACAATTTGAGGCTGGCTTGGGGACAGAGCAATTCTAGACTCCACACAGAGATAAAGCAGTGTCATTTCCCCCATGTTTTTGAGCTCTGCTTCAAAATATGGGCTTCTGTAAGTCTGGAATAACAAGGAGGAGTGAACATCTACTGGGGTAAATAGGCAAAGGACCCTAGTTTAGTAGTGCAGTGAGATGTGTGAAATTTAAATTGGTGATCTCAATTGCAATTTGTTGGGACCTGTTGATGGGGTGGGGCTTCCCACAATTTGTAGGTACTACTGGAGTAGACCAGCAGTAAGCAGGAAGGTGCGCTGTGTGAAGGGCTTTTCTACTCAAGGTATTTACTGTGTGCTCATGATTCCTTACCCATGGTTGTTAACAGACTCTTTGGACAACATCATGATATTCCAGTTTGAGTCCCTTTTTTCAGAGCACTTTCCTCCAGGTTCTTGTTGCTGTTTTAAAATTAGTAATTTTAGTAGTTTAACAGTCGCCTTTGATTTATTTTTACTGGTTATATACTATTTTACTGTGTTGTTTTATTTATTGTTTTTATTGGTTATTTGTTTCAATGTTGTAAGCCATCCTGAGACGTTGTCATAAAGGACAGCATATAAATGTTTTAAACAAATAAAATGTGGGTAATGATCTACTATATTAAAACACACAAGGTGAGGCTCTAGCTCCCCATGTATTTCTGCTATTCTATTATAGCACAGCTCCATCTAGAGGCTGCACAGCAGAAAAGCAAGAGAGGAGGAGCTCTTTGGGTAGAGCTTGAATCTCAATGCTGTGATGAAACTGAACATAGATACAGCAATTAACAGCACAATAAAGGTCTTATGTAGAAATGCCCTGAAGGTCTGAAGGAAACTCTGAGATTTCTCTCAAACCATGCAGTCTTGTTTTGTTTTATTTACAGTCAGTTCAATCCTTGCTTGCTTGGTATGACCACTCTTAGAATATTCTGTTTGGTTCTGGTCCCCTTAGCTGAAGACGAGTGTTACTGAGTTGGAAAAAGTACAGAGAAGGGCAATGAAAATGATCAAGGGGCTGGAGTAACTCCCTTATAAGGAGCAACAACAACAAATGGGACTGTTCAGATTAGAAAAAAAGTGGCTAACAGGAGGCATGATTGAAGTGTTTAAAATAATGAATGATTTGAAGAAAGTGGAGAGGGAGCCATTTTTCTTCCTCTTGCATAACACTCCAACCAGGGTTCATCCCATGAAGGTGAGTGGTGGGAGATTTAGGACTGATAAAAGGAAGTGCTTCACACAACCTAGAGTTTAGTTATGGAATTCACTGCAGTGGGAAGTGGTGATAGCCACCAATTTGGACAGTTTTAAAAAGGGTTTGGACAGATTCATGGAGGAGGAGCAGTGGGAGGAAGCTATTAGTGGCTACTAGCCTTGCTGGCTATGTGCTACCTCCTTTATCGGAGGTGCCATGCCTGCATACACCAGTTTTTTTTCCATGGCAATAGTTAACATTTACATATGTATGGGTGGACCATCTTTCTACTGAGAAAAATGCTGCTCAAGGATACTTCTTCTTTAATTAATTAACAACAGAGGTTCTTTGCATTTGTGTTTGCAGTAAAGCCTAGGTTAGTTAGAAAAGTTAGGCTGAATGGAATATGAAAATCTAGAGAGTGGGAAAGGTGAGGAGAGATATGATTAGTTTGCTGGTGGGTAAAGAGAACCAACCCATTTATAGGACAGAAAGTCAACTTCTGCTGTGAACAGTTTTGAGCTGCATCAAGTAGGTTCAAGTAGTAGTAGTTGTTGTTGTTAGTCGCGAAGTCGTGTCCAACCCATCACGACCCCATGGACCACATTCCTCCAGGCCTTCCTGTCCTCCACCATCTCCCAGAGTCCACTTAAGCTCATACCAACTGCTTCAGTGACTCCATCTAGCCACCTCATCCTCTGCCGTCCCCTTCTTCTTTTGCCATCTATTGTTCCCAGCATTAGGCTCTTCTCCAGGGAGTCCTTCCTTCTCATTAGGTGGCCAAAGTATTTGAGTTTCATCTTCAGTATCTGGCCTTCTAAAGAGCAGTCAGGGTTGATCTCCTCTAGGACTGACTGGTTTGATCGCCTTGCAGTCCAAGGGACTTGCAGAAGTCTCCTCCAGCACCACAATTCAAAGGCCTCAATCCTTTGGCACTCAGCCTTCCTTATGGTCCAGCTTTCACAGCCATACATTGCAACTGGGAAAACCATAGCCTTGACTATACGCACTTTTGTTGGCAGGGTGATGTCTCTGCTTTTTAGTATGCTGTCTAGATTTGCCATAGCTTTCCTCCCCAGGAGCAAGCGTCTTTTAATTTCTTGGCTGCAGTCCCCATCCGCGGTGACCTTGGAGTGCAATCCTGTGTATGTTTTCTCAGAAGGGCCATTGAGTTTAAAGGAACCTAAATCAACTATAGGGAAAGTTTTATGGCAAAACTACTATCTATTTAGCAGTCCCTTTACTATTGATAAAGTTTCAACATTGATCCGTTCAGAGGGGTTTCCAAATATGATAGTGTATCTAATGTTAGGGTAGACCCATGAGAAGTTGGTGGCTCACATGCCACTGGGCCTCCTTCTTCATTGCAGCACTTACTCTTTTATACGAAGTAGCCCTGGTAGTAAACCTGCCTTGGTGATGAAGTTCAGCACCACAGATAGTTCCTATAAAGTTTGGAATTAATACTGAAATGAATGAGGCACCCCACTAACATAGGAATCACTGAACTCTCCTGAATAGCTCCCCTAAAATGAATGGGACTTCAACGAGTCTAAGCTAATTCTTCAAGGAGTCTACGCTTGAAAGGCCTAACATGGATTGTTACCCAATATTGTCGCTGGCGTCGCAGCTACGAAATCATAAGCTGTTTTTCCCTAAAATCCTGCGTCGCCCCGCGTATAGAACTCGGGGATAGAAAACGCGGCGGCGAGGGGGAATGCGCATGCGCTTTTCAGGCAATAGGTTCTTCTGGGAGGCGGGACTAGAAGGCTCTTTAGTACGCATGCGTAGTCCCTCCCCGGGGAAGCCGTTGCCTTGGCTCCCGTGTTCGAGCCTAGGCTTTTTCTCCCTCAGGCTCTCCGCCTCTCCCGGTGCTGACGAGACGCGCGCTCTCGCGTAGGAGCTCCTTGGTCCCTCCTTCTCCATTGACGGGACGCTTCAACGAAGGTCGCCAGGCCGGTGTCTGGGGGCCTCTGGACCCCCGCGGGGCGCCAATGCTATTTCCTGCAGAGACCATGGTGGGTACAGGAGTGGCTTCGTGGAGGCGGCCGATGCCGTGACTGCAGCGCCTCCTCCCCTCTGCCCAGGCCTTCCCAAGGAGGATGAAGAAGATGAAGAAGATCTTGCGGCTGGGGAGGAAAAGGAAGGAGCAGCAGCCGCCACCACCGTCCCCGGCCCGGTGCGTGATCTCTGCCCCCGCCTCCTGCGCCTCCCCATTTGGCTGTGCTGGGAGCGGCAGCTACAAGGTGCGGAGCAAGGAGCTCGGCAAACTGCACCGGGCAGCGGCCGAAGGAGACATCGGCGAACTCCGGCAGCTCCTGCAGAAGCATGACCTCAACGAGCAGGACAGAGCCGACAGGTGGGAGAGGGGCTGCGATGCGACCGAGGCCGCTTCGTGGCTTCGGAAAGTTAGGCTGCACTCCTTCGCTCGATTACATGGGCGTAAGCCTTCTTGAGCTCAGCGGGATGCGCTTCCGAGTGCGGGATTGTGCTGTCAGGCGGCAGACATGTCATTGGGACGGAAAGGCAGGACGGTGTTTCACGCGACCACAGGTTGAAACTAAGTTTCAAGTGGAAAAGTTGTGGGGTCATTCCTGTTAGTCTTGCTCGCACTGGTCGTGCATGTACTGCAGATGTGGTCAACCATGTGAGGGGACTGTTCATATTTACTGATGTACACGTGAGCTCATGAGGCTTTAGTTTGGAGCCCTTGCACTGAGCAGGGGATTGGACCTGATGACCTTATTAGCCCCTTCCAACTCTACCATTCTGTGATTCTACGTATAATCCTTGGGGAAATTCTGGCTCAAATAGGATTACTTCTAGAAGAAACAACCCTTCCTCCATTTTTATTTATTTTCAAATTTATATGCCGCTGAATAGCCTGACAGCGCTGTCTAAACAACTAACAGCATTAGCATACATTAATTACAATTAATTAATTAAACATTACAATTACAAGTATGGGTGAGGAGAGGGCAGAAATCTGCTGGAGAAGAGTGAGCTCTTATAATCAGGTATTAAAATCAAATTGCTAAATACCTGCAAAAGAGGATGGTTTTCATTTGGTACCAAAATGAAAGTAGTGGAATAGCCTGACAGCGCTGTCTAAACAACTAACAGCATTAGCATACATTAATTACAATTAATTAATTAAACATTACAATTACAAGTATGGGTGAGGAGAGGGCAGAAATCTGCTGGAGAAGAGTGAGCTCTTATAATCAGGTATTAAAATCAAATTGCTAAATACCTGCAAAAGAGGATGGTTTTCATTTGGTACCAAAATGAAAGTAGTGACAGTGCCAGGAGGACCTCTTTAAGAAGCCCCTTCCAAAGGTGGGGGGCAGCCACTGAGAAGGCCCTTTTTAAAATTATCATCCCTTTTACTTACTTTATGGATGGCTCTTTCAGATATGGATGCAAGTGCTTAGGATCACTTCACAAAGCACTGAATATTGGAAGGGGGTTTGCTAGCTAATGTGACTCCAACCCTTTTCATGTGCTTTCAGCATGTGAGGGGTTAGTATGAAACCCCTATTACCTATTCATGAGCAAGTTCAGAGTAAATATCTCATATTTATATCACCAGCCTATCCATCTGGCATCCCACTTTTCCTTCAAGAACTCAGCCTACTAAACTATTATCCCATTTTTATCTTTATACCAAAAAAAAAAAAAAAAAAAAAAAGACCACCCTAACCCAAAACATTCAATCCTGTGAAGTAGGATAAGCTGAGGGATATGGCAGTTAAATGTTGCTTTTCTTCATGGATGAGTGAAGAACTTGTACCTTGGTTCTCCTTGTCTAAGTCTGATACTAAACCTCACTATGCCACAGTCATGAAATACAAGACCTGTGGCCTCATTTTCAGAGATCTCCTCATATGAAGAGAAGCAAACTTAACATTTTATGTGCTTTAAAAAGTTCCAGCACTGTAGGTGCTTCTATATAGGAAATAATATGCCATCCCTACATTTGGGAATCTTTTTTTCAAGTTAATATTCTGTAGTCTGTTGAGGAGGCTTAAAAATCTTCATTTCCTTCAAGGCTGACTTTTGGGTGTATTCTTAATTTCATTTTTATTTCTTAATCTGATTACTTCTCACAGTTATTACCACAGCTACTTATTACCATTTGTTATTATACAAATTAGGTTATGGTACTGTACATTGCTATGCCCATTTCCAAGTCCTTTCTATCTTTCTTATTTTATATTGTTCACATTAGGGTTTTTAGTCTAGCATGATTGCAAATGTTGTGCCTAGTCATTAATTTCTACACTGGCGCAGCCTTTTCCAACCTGATGCCTTCTAGATTTTTGGGCTTGTTCTGGATACACTTAGACTCTTCAATGTTGTTTTGGTTCTACTGAAAATGACAAAAGACTATTTACCTTCCAAAGTGGGGAAAAGTACAAAAAAGTTATTTTAGTTTACATATAACATTGATTAACTCAGCCTTCAATTTTATATTTGGTGGGTCCTATTTTTGACTAAAGACATAAACATACATACACTGTGCTGAATACCATACTTCTTTTTGGTTACTTTGTGTTGATTATTATTTTGAAATGTGTGTTACCCTTTTGGATTTTTTTCCTGTGCTGTAAGAATCAAAGTTGAACAATGTAGAAGTTCTTACTGATTTCCAGAAATAGTCTGTCTGGAAAATCAATCGGGTGAGAGCTGGTGGTTGAAACCTAGTGGCCTAAATGGCTCACTCCAAATCTTCCACAAAACTTTGGACCACCCTAACTTTTATTATTGTTGCGAGGATAAAATGGGACAGTCCCAAGTTTAAGCTGTCAGATAACCTTCAGGAAAAACATTTTTTCCTAAATAATTGATCAATGGATGGTATACCTTACAGAACTCCTTTGCACTTTGCCTGTGCCAGTGGATATACAGATATTGTTACTTTCTTGGTAGACAACAAATGTGAATTAAATATCTGTGATAAAGACAAGAGAACTCCACTAATGAAGGTATGTATGAAATATAATACTGCAATTTTGCATGTAACGTATCTAGATGAAATTTTCAATTGATTAAAACGGCTTGGGAGGGTGTTGTCTAAGGCAGTGTAGTCCAGCTAGCCTGTAGGCTAGAGGTTTTCCTTTCCTGTTATACTGAGCATAGTTGCATATCATACCAACCCACTTGGCAGTAAGCCACAGTGGCTTGGCTCTGTGAAGAACTCACAGTGTGCTTGACAGTCAGATTCACCATGGGTTGTTGGCTCCCTTCCTTCTTTCTTGCTCCTTAGGGACACTGTGGCAGGACCAACTTGTTTCCTCCCTACCTGCTATGTTTGTGAGACACTTCCAGTTTGCCATTTTTTTCTTGTTTACACTTTTGTTGCTTTGCTGATCACAAGACCCCCATTTTGAAAAAGACTGACAGCCCCTGATGAAAACAAGTTGTGCCCAAATAGGTTGGTTTGTTAGTCTGCAGTTGTGTAAGTGTGGAAATTTGAAGTTTTTCTGGGCAATGCCCTGAGTGCTTCCTGCTGTCAAGATGCAGCGGGATCCAACCCTGAACTTTGCCTCCAAAGGCTCCAGATAGCTCCCCCCACTTCCCTTTATAGCTGTTAAAAGGTGAGCTGTCCAGAGAAACCAGGGGCTCAGGTGATCTTTGCTCACATATACAAGCATATGCCCTTCTTCACCCCCCTCCCCGACCCTCTTTTATAAACTGTCAAAACACCTTTCCACCTCAAAGAGGGGGCAATTCTTTTTTTTTTTTTTTAAATTTTGTATGCAGATAGTGCATCAGGGAAAAAAATTACAAAATGTTCCTCACCCTAAGGAATGTCAAGATGAGAATGATGAGGACCTTGCTGAAAGGGGGCTGTAAATCATGCTATGCCTTTTTTGCATGCAAAAAATAATTTCTCTTGATAGCTCATTTTTTGACAGCTTTCAAAATAAACCAAAGGGGAAATGAACGTATTTGGAGCCTCTTTGGGGCAATGCCTAGGGTTGGTACCTACTGTATCTTGTCAACACATCTCCACCAAAATTCATTGCCTTAGAGATTATTCAAATTTCCATGCACACACAAACATGAAATTCCACATTCATGCAAGTGTGGCTTTTTAAATTATACATTAGTATGCATTATTATTAATTTCATTTCTATACGGCCCATAGCTAAAGCTCTCTGGGCAGTGTACAACAAAATATGAGAACAATAAAATAAAACCATAAAATAACATAATTGAAAAGTCCCTTTCCCTAGTTGTCAGCTAATAAGACTCTTGAAGGGTTGGCATCCATAGAACAACTCCAGAAGCTGAATTGATTTTAAAATTTTTGGGGCAATGTCCTCAGAGCTCCCTATTGCCAAGATGCAGATGCCAACCCTATTTAAAAAAAAAAAAAAAAAAAAAAAAACTGACAGGCATTCCATGGTGTCACAGAGGCACTTGAATGGGGCAGTCAGTGTTTGTCAAAATGGGGATCATGATAACTGGTTGCCAAGCCCGTTTTTTGTGCATCTTGGGGAGGTAGAGGGGAAGGCTAAATAGGTAAAAAGCCAGAGTAAGTCAAAAGCTGGTCATGGTTTCTGCAAGGAGGGTAAGAAAGCCACTCCCAGCTGCTTCCAAGTGCCATTTCAGCATTTGTGGGCAGCTGTAACTGGTGGTTTCCTTGGGACTATGACTCATTAGCCAATTCCTGATATATGTGGTGTGGTTAGTAGTACAGGTTCAAATAATACAACAACCCATGTATTGTCAATTGCAACTTGTTGTCCTCTAATAAGCCATCTTACAGGAATGGCCCTGGCTTACATGATACATCAACCTGTTGAGGGTAGCAAACTTCAATGCATTTTGATGTCATGAAAATCCAGTTGGGTGTATTAAATTTTGACAGAGTTAATTATTTGGCTGCATTAACACAACTTAAGGATCTAACCTATTCTCAAATGTTACAGGCTGTACAATGTCAGCAAGAATTCTGTGTAGCTTACCTACTTGAGCATGGAGCAGACCCTTCTCCTATGGACATCAACAATAACACTGCCCTCCACTTTGCTGCCTCTAATTCTAGCATATCTATAGCAAAACATTTACTTGAACATAATGTTGATCTTGAAGCAAAAAATAAGGTAAAATGTGATATGTTTAATGTCTTAAAATAGGTCGAGACATTTCTTTCTCTTTATATTCTTTGGCATAGTTTAGGGAAAAGGTGTTACTTTATGCACTGATGCTGTTTGTCCATAAAGATAAGATAAATGTTCTGTCTTAATAAACTACATGGAATAAGATACAAGAATGTTGGCTCTTGCTTTGCTTCTCCTGTTGTGTTAATAGATAAACTGGGAGGAAAAAGCTTCATATGCCATCTTAATCTGGGATTATGAGTAATGCATTCAAGAAAGCTAGGATTTGTTAAAATAGCTTAAAAATAAAGTTAGTTGTTGGGTTAGAAATCTTGGGTTGTTTTGGCATGCTAATCATGATCTTGACTGTAGATTATGACCATAATCTTCAGCTTCCTGGTTTGTTTGCTTGTTAGCATGATGGAAGGAGCAGACGCGTTTGGTGAACTAGTGTGCAGTTCATTCTCATCACAGTGAGCAATAATTAGCTTAATTATTCAGTGCCAAAACTGTCATCTAGTAGGTAAATCATCTTTTATTTTAAAAGAAAGGGAGGAAACATTTGTTTCCAACCCCAGTTATTGGTGGCCAACTATTATCTGTAGGGAATCCAATTTATGCTTAAAGGGGTCAGTTTCAGGAAGATAACACTGTTAACAACCTTGTTGCCTAACCTAAACAAAGCAATTCCCTCTGTAGTCCATATTTATTATGTTCTCCCATCGTTCTTTTTAGGTTGAGGTAATATGACTGGCACAGACCCAGTCCTGCTAAGCCTTGTTGTGCTAAATTTATTACTCCTTGTTCAGCCTATAGGCAGGACTGGCCTTTATAAGAAATACAATACCTGCTAACATGCTTAAAAATTGATACATACTGCTTGTGACCAAAATATTTATTATTGTTGATTAATATATTGCTGTGATATATTTATGTATGTATGGTTTATTTATGATAAATTGTATGACTATTAAGCTGGTGTATTTGTCTTAAAGCAAATTATTTGTGAAAATTGGTCTTGGCATCAATCATTCCACTGATTGTTTTCAGGGTTGTGAGGACCTCTATACTTTTTTGTTTTGTTTTTGCAAAGCTACACTGTATTTCATTTCTCTGAAATACAGCTGGTATTCTATTATTAACTTTTAGATAGCAGCTTTCAAACTCAATCATGATGTTTCATTAAAGAAAAAATGATCTGTTGGAGTTTATTCCTATTTCATACCTGGATATTGGTTGTAGAATTGTGCCTTGTATGTGTAATCATCTTTCTGTGAATGAAGTGGCATGTTAGCAAAGCTTTGCATATTAAATCATTGTAGAGTGGGAAAAATGTGAATGACATAGCTTCTAATTTATTTTTGTTCTTGTAGGATGGGAGTACACCTCTAATTCTTGCTGTAACTGAAAATAATCGAGAAATGGTGGAGTTTCTTCTTGAAAAAGGAGCATCAGTACATGCTACAGACAAGTCAGGAAGGTATGGTATGAATCAGTTACCTGCATGCTTTCTCTAAAGAAATTAGAATTCTTTTTGAAGTAGCTGTTGCAAATCTATTTTTAGTAACAATGACAAATGAACAGGCTGAGATAACTTCTTGGATATAAGAGCTCTTTATCAACTGGTTGTAATTATTATTTCCATGTTTGTGAATCTAAAAATGTATTACCAGGCTTTGGTACCAGCTTTGATAATACAATTATATGTGTGTATTAGGATTGGAATGAACCCTGGTAGAGTCATCCATCTAGTATTTTGGAGACTTCTTTGTATGCTCTGCCTAGTCTTGCAAATTGAGCTGAGCCAAAAGGAAATCCACAAACACTCATGAAACAAAGGTTGTGCAACTGCTAACATTCTTTCACATCTACTGCAGCAGCACAAAGACTACTGCAGATAGTGCAGCGGAGAGACACCGCTTGTGCAGTAATCATGCAGGGCTCCATTCCTGCCAAACTTGTGTCAGATGTTGCAGCTCAAACAGCTGCTACATGGGCCACAGAAGAAGGGGGAGGCTGCTAGCAGTTGCACAGGGCTCACCAGGAACAGAACATTTGCAGCATCCCTCTTCTATGCTCTGTGTAGCAGTCATTTGGGTGCTGCAGAAGCACTGGTAGTGGCTGTGTGGGTCTCTCAAGGAATTGAGCCTTGCACAACCTCTAGCGGCATCCTTCTTCCATACCACATGTTGAAGCCATTTGGGCTGCGGCAGGTGACATGGAAGAGGCATGCCACTTGCCCAGTGCATCCCATGAATGTCCAGGGAATCTGATGGATTTCCTCCCGCAAATGGATTCCTCACACATTTCTAGCATGTTTACTTAGAAGTTGAATGAGACTTCCATGTAGAGTCAAAGCATCATCCCCGGTATGTCTCTCCTTGCTCTGAAGTGATGCCATTGAGTCAGAGATTATTCTCTGTTGAGGTAGCTTCAGTGCTGATGGGCTTTCTGAGGCCAGGGTTGGAGACCAGTTTTTGTAGTGGAAAGGATGCCTAAATTTAATCGATGATGATGACAATATTAATAATAATAGACAGTGCATTGATTGCGTTGGCAGTGTTGTGTGCAGGCATTCTCTGACAAAAGTTCAGGCTGGAGAAGCTCCAGCCAGTGTTTTGGCCTGGGCCTGAAGGTTGTCAGAGATGTGGCCTTTGCCCCATGATACCCTCTGCTTCACAAAGGAGCCAGGGATTTCCCACTCCTGGTTTAGGTGATGGAGGTATTTTTCTGTTCAGTTAAATCATGATAGAATTGGAAAGTTGCTTTTAGGCAAAAGTGCAGGGGTGTGTGTGTGTGTGTGTGTGTGTGTGTGTTGGACCTCAGATTTAATTTTTTATTAAAAGCTGGTTTGTGCAAACTTCCTCTCTTTTTTGTCCTTCTCTTCTTACCTCTTTCATTTAAGTGACTCATCTAATACAGAGGTGGAAGTGCTGCTTAGTCTAAACTTCTATAAGAGAAAGTTTCATCAGATATAATGAACTCAGAAGTAGATATTCATTCAATTAAGCACATTTAAAAAAGGGATTGATATCTCAGTTCAAAGTATCTTTGAATATGTAGTTTTCTTTTTTAGCTAGTGTTTTAACAAATAAATAACACTTAAACAGGTGTTTTAACACATCAACAAAACAAGTGTTTTGTTTTGTTTTCAATTTAAAACAGTGGAAATAAGGTTGTTTTGTAAGGATTGGAAACTCATAAAACCTATTTGTGAAGGGATATCTAATGATCATATTTCTACAAACTATATTAGAATATTATGAAAGTGTACAATGCTCTGCTTTTTGCAACAGAGAATTAGGAAAATTTAATCCCAATATATTGAAACAGTGGTGATGAAATATCTAAGTCAAATGAACAAGTGAGGTGAAGTCTTTTTTTTTCTGTTTCAGAACTGCCTTATTGATTGCTGCCTCTAATAAAAGACGTGATTTAACAAATGTTCTTCTCCTACATGGATCAGATGTTTTCCATAGAGATGAAAGTGGATGGTCAGCTGATGATTATGCAATGATAAGTGATGATCCTATGTAAGTTTTTATTTCTAAAGTTTCCCAAATTGTATTAGTAAAGCAATCCATCAGCCAAAAAGTTCTGAATAATTATCATCAATTTCATTTGATACTGCCCATTAGCTGAATTGTGATCATAATTTTCAAACATCTTTCTCTGTACTCAAGCCAAGAAACAAATTGTTTGCTTTTCATCAATCCTCACTGATACCTTTTAACCAAAAGTGTTTGGGTTGGCACAAAAGAGTGAATTTCTGGAAAGAAAAAAAGCCCTGCACAAAATTAGGAAATTATGCATAGAGTTAGGCTAAACCCTTTCTTCTGGTTTCAGCTTATCTTTTTTATAGCCTTTTATCTTTTAAAATGTTACATTGTCACAAAGTTTTGTAAAGTATTTTTTTCTCATTAGCTTGATTCAGTATATTGCTGACTATTCCAAATGGAAAAATACAGAAGATGATTCCCCTGATGATCAAAAAGTCCTGTCTGTATTGAGCAGTCCAGAAAAAGCTGGTGATACTGGTATTACGTTGGGTGCACCTGCCACAAATAAGGAAGGTATGATTTTATGTACTGAGAACATAAGGAATACTCTGCTTTGAATAAGGTCAAAGGCGTTTCCAATAGCCTGTTTCCTGCAGTGACCAGACAGATGGTTCTAACATGAGGACAGTAGCCTCTTCAGCTTTTGCTTCCAGCAACTGGTATTTAGTAGAATATTGTCACTGAAGCAGGATGTTTGGTATAGGTGTTAGGTCTTATGAATGGCTACTAGTCACATTGTCCATGAATTTGACTCATTCTCTATTAAAGGCAGTGACCATCACAAGATCTTGTGGCAGTGAATTAATAAATTAATTATGTATTGGGTGAATTACTTCTTTTTTGTCTTTTCTAACTCTCACCAGTCAACTTCAATAGGTGTTAGAGTGAGAGTAAAACTTCTCCATACCCACTTTACACACCATGCATGAACTTATACATTTCTATCATGCTGCCTTCACTGTCAATTTTTTAAACTAAAAAGCTGCAGATATTATATAGGGAAGTTTCTCCACATTGTGATTATTTTGATTGCCCTTTTTGAACCTCTTACAGTTCTGTGATAATTCTTTTCAAGATAGATTGGCTGGAATTGCTCACAATATTCCAAGTGTTCCTTTATCATATATATTAGGATGTAACAATACTGGCAGCTTTATTTTTCATCCCTTTCGTAGTAATCTCTAGCATAGAAGTTTTCTTCTGTTTTGTTTTAATGCATTTGCAATGTGTTCATTTTACTGTCTACACCATGGGTCCTCAAACTATCGGCTTGCCATGCCCATTTATCCGGCCCCCCCATGCCCGTTTGAACCTGCCATGTGCGCCCGCCGCCATCCACCTCGCCCTGCTTGGGGGGAGGCAGCAGTTTGCTCGCTTGGAGAAAACGATCGCCAAGTGAGCAAGCCGCTGCCTTGTGCACCTGCCTTGCGGTGTGTGCCCGCCCCTGCTTCCCCTCCCCTCGCCATGCATGCCCACCTGTGCCTCGCCTCACCTTGCCTCACCGCTCAGCCCACCCCCACCTCAGCGTGCGCTCCTGCACACACCCCACCTGCTCCCACACCAGCTCGCATGCACCACCAGCACCACCTTTCTGGCCCACGCCCAGCACCGGTGGCTTTCAACTGGCCCCCTGATGGAAAAGTTTGAGGACCCCTGGTCTACACTGTAGCAAGATCTATTTCCTGATTACACATTGCTGGTTCAAACCACATCAGCCTATAGAGAACCAGTGTTCTACAGTAGTTAGAGTGCTGAGATCCGAGAGATTAGTAGTCCCTATCCAGCCATGAAGCTCAGAATATGGCTTTGGGCCAGTCACTGACTTTGTTTATCCTACCTTGCAGGGCTGTTGTGAGATAACTTGGAGAGGAAGAAAACCATATGAGTTGCATTGGGTTACTTGCAGTTAAAAATGTAATAGTAGTACTAGTAATAAAATGTGAAATGTCTTGCGCTAGTATGCATCACTGTGTATCTAAGCAAACTGAAGTTTGTCCTTTAGTTGCATTTTCACCCAAATTTGGAGAGACTCTTTTGTTTTGTAACAGTCCATTTTGTTTTTCCTTTCTGAATAATGTCATTGGTAACCTTGGCTTCATCATTGCTCACCCCAACTCAGGATTATTTATCAACAAATTGAATAGCATTTTTTTCCAATATAGATCTTTGTATCAGTTCTTCTGAGACCGTTCATTTTGAAACCTCCAAACTGGCAGAAGTTCAACATTGCTCCTGTTCTAGAAGGACAAATAGTAGCAGAGTATACATTATGAAGCTTACTATTGTTCCTGAAATGCTTCAAAGAATCTGTATAGTTTAAGGCTTATCATTTTTCATTTTTAAATTCCCAATAAGCTTGCTAGCTCTAAGCAAGAACTGAATCATTAAACATGTCCCTTTCCCTAGACAGGTTGTATCAACTGATACAATCCTGTCTTTTTTTTTCTTTTTTCTCCTCAGATATGACAGCATCTGGAAAATATAGGATATCTTATAAACTATATTTATCTATGGTGAATCTTTGGTTAAGCCAGGATGTCACCTACTTATTTATTAACTTACTTGTTTTTATCAGCCACCCAGTTACAGAAGTTCTGTGAGCAAAATAAAATAAAAAAAATAAAAACAAATTAACATCTTAATTACTTTAGGACAAATCAAAAAGCAGCAAATAGAATAACAAATTACTTTAAAACAGCAATCAAGAGAGGTAGACAGTATGTGCGTTGATCTATTCAAGTCAAACAGTATGTGAAAACCTGAGCATAGAAAAAAAGTCTTTGCCTGGCACCAAAACAAATAGGTACAAAGCACACCTCATTGAGGAGGCCATTCCACAGCCAAGGGCCAGTACTGAAAAGATCCTTTCTCTCTGCTGTATCACAAGCAGGAGCGCTCTAAAATGGATGCCAGCTGATCATCTCAGAGGCTACGTATATCTCAGGGGAGATAGTACAGGAAGAAATAGAAGCCAGGGCCACTCTCTCTTGTGAGTGAGAAGGCTGCTTTGGGCACTCGTTCTCAAGGACTCCTGGCTGGACTTCAGAGGAATCAGAACTGGTCTATGAAGCAGAATGGGAGGGAGTTGGGGAGTATGGGCTGTGCTGAGACATGAGAGGAGAGAAGCAGAGACTCTCACACCAGACTCCCCAGGCAGTTCTTGGGAATATTCAAGATATATAGCAAATGAGAGGGACTCTGAATATGGGAGCTTCTCAGATCCAGACCAGGCAGCTCAGGCTCTTGACCCCATCACACAGTGTCAGCAGAGGAGGGCAGCCCAATTAGAGGACTGGCATGTGCAGAGGCAGTGAGGTTGCTTTCAGAAGGCCCTTCCCGAAGGGATGGAGCCCAGGCATGCTCATAAGGAGAGTTCTCCTTATGAATGTGAATACTAGATTGGGTTCAACAAACCACTCTATGCCTGCTCAGAGATTCATTCTGGGTGATTAGTGGTTTTTGAGTCATAAAGAATGCTTTGCAAGGAAAATGCTTTGCAGCTTTTGAATAGTCAAAAAAGGAAAATCTGAACTCATGACACTCTCAGCCTAACCTACCACACAGGGTTGTTGTGAGGATAAAATGGAATGGAGCAAAAGGAAAAAGGTGCAATATACATGTAATATATAGTAATAATATATTAAACCAATTCCTTACCACTCTAAACCCGGTGGACTTAAAGGTGATACACAAAATGATCTGGTTCACATGTAACACCAAGTTGTTTATTATGAACTGGCTGGGGAAAGTGGGAGTGAACAAGCACACTGCTTCTGGTTTAACTCTTGGTTGTCTGGTATTACATTTGATGCAAGTTGTGATGTAAACAAAAATAACTGCAATTAACAATGTCCTTCATAATAATTCTAGAGGAACAGGCAGCAAAAGACTATACAAATACAACATGCCAAGACAATTTTTAAAACCCTAGCCTGTTTCCAGAAACAGTAATGTTAGTGATAGCCATACCTCTTTGGGAAACGGCACTAGTACAGAAAAGGCTACCTCCTTAGAAATCTTAAAGCATGGGAAGGGTAGTTTGGAAGGGCATGATATTTCAGGAATTTGTGTCCCAAGCCATTTAGGATTTTAAAGATAATTGCAAGCACACCGCAGAAGCAAACAAGCAGCCCATGTAGCGCATAGAATTGGTGCAACTTCCTTCGACTTGGCTGAAACGGTTACATTTCTGTTAATCAGTTCTGCAGTTGAATGTTCTGAGCCCTCTTCAGAAGTAGCCTCATGTGTAACGCATTATAGTAATCCAACACAGAGTAATATGAGTACATTCATCCGTGCTAGATATTATAAACAAAATGGTATACTGCACTTATATTTAGAAGGGATAGCTGCAGAACTTTCACAGGCAAGTCACATGCTACATGCAACGACCATCTCTCAATCTCAGTTAATAGTCAATCTTCCTGAAAAACATTATTCCATTTTTGCAAACATTGTGATCAGCGATACTAAGTCGCTCCCAACTTGGTTAGGTGTGTTTAGCTGCGGGAGACCAGGATGAGGGAAAAAAATCCCAATAGGTTAGTGTGGGAAGCAGTTGGATGGTTTGTCTTTCTTGACCTTGAATTTTAATATGAGGCATTGTGTCCTGATGTTCAGTGTGAGCAGCACACTGATTAAATTTATTTATTTATTTATTTATTTAAATCATTTCTATGCCGCCCCCATCGCAACAAAGCCTCGGGGCGGGTCACAACAAAAACAAACAAAAGCATATAAAAATTATACAATAAAAATATTAATACCTGATGCATCTCAGCTTAAATTTTTTTAAAAAAATATTGTTCCTTTCTGTCATTTATATCTGTGTTCCTATATTTGTAATCATTTTAAGAATTCACTGTTTGTATCTGTTCCTTCCATGTCTTGCCTTAATAGCTAGAGAAATGCAGCAGGCACTCAACCAGGCAGCAGGAGATTCAGGGAAAGGTATAATTGTTTCCAAGGGTCAAATCTGTAATAGTTTGTTTAGCTGTTTGTTTTAATTCAGACAGCCTGCTGTAGTTGACACTTACTGCTTTTAGAAATGTTTATAGTACATAGTTTAGTTTTAAGCCTAAAATGCCATTTATAATAAGCTGATGTGGAAATTAGTCCTCAACTAGGTATTATGAAGAGTGTCACAACTGAGAATGCCGTGGCATTAATCTCCACCCCCCCCCCCCCTTTATTTCTAATAAAACTCTTCCCCCACTTGCAACTCCTTTTGCCCTGGCAACCATTTTTGCTTGGTTCATGGCATGGGCAGAAAACGTTGACACACACACACTTGTGTGCCACAGTACTAGTCCTGATCAGGCTACTCAATAACTTCAATTTGTTTTAAATACAGGTGCAAGCACCTCACCTATTGTATAATTTAGCAGTTGGTGCTTTATTCTTCACAAAAGTAAATTACTGGTGGTTTTATATTACATGGATCTACCCGATAAAGTTCCCAGTATGTTCATGAGATTTTCTAACATTCAGAGGGAATGTCAGTATAAAGTTCTGAAGCTGAGAGGAACTTCTCACCCAAATACTAATGATGGGAAAACATGGGAGGGTCAACAGTGGAAAATGATGGTATTTGTGCCTCCTCCAAAATTCTGTAGGGCAGTTGCAGGATAAAAGCTTTGTCTGGAAGTACCCTAATTGCTCCACTTTAGAAAGTTTCTTGCAATTCATCATGATTCTGACACTCCTGCTATGAACTTTGCCTTTGCTCATAATGCTTGGTACAAAGTTTTTCATTTCCTATATTTCCACATTTTTACTAAGTTGTGTGTATGACTGTATTAAAGAGAGAGTGGAGGGAACATGGCTAAGGTGACAACTAAAAGCTCTTCTAAATGTACCTTCAGCAATGTATTTTTTTAAAAAACCTATTTACTTATTGACCAAGAAGAATAAAACTATACTATCCAGATGAGGTTTAGCATTGTTTTTACTATGTACCTTCTAATTCCTTTTGAGTGTGCTCAGAACCTATTCTAGAAAGTGTTATTCAATCTTCTTGACTTTTTTTTGGGAAGATTGCAGTTTCCAGAGTTTCTGTGGGAAACGATTCAAACATGGTCAAAAGTTTCCTGTGCTGAAAGCTGGAAATTTAGGAAGAATATTCAACATTTGTAAACCCTTTCTGATGCCATCTCTCTCCTTCCACTGGTAGTTGATCATTTTAAGATGGGTATGGATGCTAGGAGAAAAGCAGTCTTGCAGCTGTGAAAGAACTCCCAAGCTGATACTTTTTGAGAATTTGCAGGAGAACACCAAACTTTTTCTTTATTTTTATTTTTTATTTTAGAACTTTCCAAATATTCTTAAGATTGTGATACTGGAAATGCTCAAAACTACAGCCATAACAAAAAAATGTCAGCTGGACCCCCAACTCAGTTTACAACAGTTTAAAAATATATACACAGTATGGTCAGAGGAATGAAGTACAATTAATGACAGAGAGCTAAAAGAAAAAGAAGTAACAGTAACAAAAGCATGGTAGCAGGATAATAATTAAAAATGACCTTGCCTGTATCAGATTTCAGCTTATTTTTCCACATCCTCTCCATAACTGTGTTTAGGTGTCAGTTCAGGATTTCCAATAACTTCCTGACATCCAGTGAAAAAGAGAAATAGAACTGGGGTTCATCCAATTACTGATGACATCCAATCCCAACTTTACAAGCAAGTCTTTCTAGGAGTTCCAAGTCACTATTAAACAGTATTGGGAACAATCTGGAACCTAGCTCCCCCTGACCAACAGTCTATTACCACTGGGCAAAAAGCTAGCAGGATATGCAGGTGGATACACCACTGCCAGCTTTGGAAAGACTTAATAATCTGCTTGCTTTATCTCACTCTTTTTGTTTCCTTTGTTCAGAAGGAGACATCTATATTTTCACCTTGTTGTGGACATTCTCATATTTTACAGATGTGGCTATTGATATTGTAGACTGCAGTAGAGATACATGTATGGAGCTTGATACTGAAAGTAACTGGAAAATTCGCTGCTTGCACAGGAATTTATTATTTACATAAGAACTTCTATTTGTGTGCTATGGTGCTGCCAAAAGAACTATTAACTATGGATTCGTTTGCCATTTTCTAAACGTGATATATTCCCAGTGATACAAAATCTTGATTTCTTTTCAGTGCTTGCTAAATTCTATTTAGTTACTACGTTTTTAAAAAAATAACTTCATACTTGCCAACCTTTTGTAAAATAATGCATCTGCCTTAATATCCTGTAGTTTAAAAACTTTTAAATATAAAAATTCTTTATTAAACACTGTTTTGCTCACTATTATCTTAACATATTTTTAATTGCTTTTTTAAAACCACCAGTTATTGATGATCATTCTTCTGGAGATTCAGTGAGGTAAGATTGTAAAATTGTTCTTAATTCAGCAAGTTCTATTAAACAGGATATATTATTATTATTATTATTATTATTATTATTATCATCATCATCATCATCATCATCATCATCATCATCATTATTTCCTGTGTGTGTTTAAGAGATTCAAGAAGAACAGATAATGACAGCTGGCTTTCTTCAGAAGAGGAAGAATTAGACTTCAGTCCTAAGGTAAAGTTTTAAGTTGTGTAAACTCTGCTGAACTTGCAAGGGAGAGAAGACAGCTATGATGGCAAGTCCTGGCAGCAAATGCATCCAGAAGGATTTCTAATCTCCCATGTGGGGTTTTCTGCTGACAACACTGATTATGTCAGAGTCCTGGTGGATCTCATGGTGAAATATAGGAATGGCCAGAATGATTGACAAGATTGCTCTGAGTGCACTAATCTGTGTAGGAGAGCATGATTGACTCTTTAGCTCAGGCTAAGAAAATGGTTGCATTAATGGTGAGTTCAGATATAAAGAAAATTCAGAGCTTATATCCTGAAAGGCTGGAGGATGTTTTAGACTAAGTATTTTGCATGTAGATCAGGATAAAAATGTTATATTGTTCTTAGATCTAAACTTAATACCTAAACATTTATTTCCAGAAACCACAAAAACCAAGTTTGGCTCAGCTAATGAATGTTTCTCAGCAGCTGAAGAAAAATAGTAAGTTGCTGGACGTGAAGATTTACTACTAAATTACCTGCTTATGTATAATGTGAATTTTAATTATTTTCTTCTTTGTTTACTGTTTTGTGTATGTTTTGTATTTTGATGTAGTAGATGAAAAAAGTAGCATTATCAGAAAAGAACACATTGGCATTTCACAGCACAATAAATCAGATATTGAAGCTGAAGATCTCAATGGGCCCCTTCCTCAGCCTTTGTTCCAAGTCAAATCCTTCCCTCATCCCATCCATTCCTCACCTGGCTCCTTTTCCAAACCTTCCCAGATGACTTCTTACTTGGATTTTAAGCAGGTAATGATTTTAATTCACATGTTTCAATCAGTTATTTGCTTTTTCATATGTATTTTTATACCCACATATGTTTTTATGAAGATGATGACAAGGAAAATAATCAATCATCAAAAGAAAACATTGAAGCAGCACTTCAAAAAAACATTAAAGCAGCACTTCAAAAAAACATTAATCTGGCTAAGCAAGGATTGAATGATCCAAATGATTCTTCTGCAAGCAATGAGGAAGAAGAATTTGATGAAGAGGGAGATGAAGAGGAGGACGAGGGGGAGGAAGAGGAGGACGAGGAGGAAGAGGAGGAGGAGGAAGGAGATGAAGAACTGGGGGAGGAGGAAGAAGAGGAGGAGGAAATAGAAGATGATTTCAGTGAAGAAAGGGAGGATTCAAATGTAGAAAGTCAGCACAAGATAGAAGATGAAGAGGAAGAATATTTTGAAAAGTCAAGGAAGAAGAAAACTTTAGCTGATAATGAATGTGAGGAGAAAGAAAATATTTTTAATAGTGATAATCAAATATGTGACTTACACAATGAAGAAACACAGGAAGCTGATGGCATTCCTATTTCATTTATTGCTGGTAATTATGATGGTTCAGTTGAAAATACAGCTGCTAGCAAAATAAATAATAACCTATCCAATCATTCATTTGAAAAGAGAAATAGTTATGAATGTGAAGATCAATTTCAGAATCCAAATGAATTTCAGTGCACTGAGACTAATAACAAAAGTGTGCATGAGGACCAAAAGGAATTTCATGGAACTGTTGTTTCTACATTGGAGGCTTCTGAAGCAACAGAAGGTGCTGTATTTACACATATCTTAAGTAGCCACTGTAACAAGGTTATGAGTTCAAGTGTGGGAGAAAATGATGAAGGTGCTGTGTCAGAGTCAGAACTTGAAGAACACACTGATAATCCTTACTTTGTAAATGATCAAAATAGTAGTGAGAAACAGTGTGTGGCTTTGAAAGAACTGGAAGAAGCAGTACATGAATCACTAGTTCTCCAAAAAGAGACTGAGAAACCTGATATCAAAGTAAGTGAATCTAATTTGTTGGGAAAAGTTAAAGGTGGACTTCTGCTCAATAATTAAAATAATACATGTTTTAGTCCATGATTGTTACAGTTGCATCTTTTGCTAACATAATTATTATTACACATTAGATGACAGTGATGCGTCATACATGGCACTGTCCTTAAAACTAGTTCAGAAACTTTAGTAGGTTCAGAAGAGAACAGTAAAATTGTTAACTAGTACTTTTAAAAATCTGCACAAATCTGAACTGCCTGCAAGTTTGTTTCCAGGCAGTTTAAGATAGTGTTTTGGGACCACAAAGCTCTAAATGGCTTGGAACTAGAATTCTCTGAAGGTGGCTCAGGGAGCCTTTTGACAGAAGTGGGGTAGTGAGGATAGCAAATACTTTAAATAATAGATATTTGAAGAACTTTTTTTTCCTATTGAGCACACTCAGTCTTTCAAGATTTGTTTCTAAGGTCCTTCTCAAGGCACTTTTACCAATTCTATAATTCTAGATTGTAATAATTTCTTTTTAGTAGTGAATCATTTTTTAAGATTTGCTAGTGGAAAAGGACACATGAATACTTAAGTAATAAGAATCAGTAAATATTATTGGTCAATAAAATTCAAGCTGTCAGAACTGCAAAAATTAATCATAATATTTTGACAACAGACATGCAATATTAAAAGCATTTCTGATAGAAAGGCCCTAGCTTCACACATGAAAATGTTCCTGATAGTACAATCTTACATATCTCATTTCAGAAGCAAATCCTATTGATTTCAATAGGGCTTATTCCTAGGTAGGTGTGCGTAGGATTGCAACATTAGTCTTACATCCTGCAAAACTTACCTGAAATTAATTATCTGTTTATTCTGAAGATGATCAGAAATGGAATTAAATAGTTCCCATGTAAAGAATTAATGTGATTATTTATGTTAGGAAGAATCTTCAGAAGATCAGGAGGAGGAGAAGGATGATGAGGAGGAAGAGGAGGAAGAAGATGGTGAAGAAGAAAATCAGAATTTTTCAGTTGCTGTGGATAAACATTTAACTTGTAAAGGGAACTCTCAGAATCCGAATCCCTCACAAGATGGCATTGTTAGAAAGGGTACAAACCTAGGCTTTACTATATTCATATTATAAATTAGATTTGTAGTATCTTTCTGAAGTTGTCCCATCTTTGTTGGCCTTCTCATTTCTTTAGTTCAATCTGTAATGCTGAGTTGCAGTAAATTTGATATTATGGGGAAACTAGCAGAGGATTTGTGTGTGTGTGTTTGTGGATTAACAGTACTCTGACAGCATAATTCTGTAAATGTTTACTTGGAAGTCCCACTGCCTTATTTCCAAAGTGTGCATAGGATTACAACCTTCATGTAACATACTGTGAAAAAGCCTGTTGTAATTCTGTTACTATTTTGAATGGCATTTAAGATATATATACTCAAGAAGACTGATTGATTAGCTCTTATTCCGAAGAGCTCAGCATTCCTAGAATTAAACAAACATTTTATTTGGAGCTTTACATGCAGCCAGGAAGACAAATTACTGTTGTCCATGTCCTCAAAAGCCACCTTGCAAATTGTATAGGCAACATTGGAGGGTAAGGCCTAGTTTATTACATGCATTTAAATTATTGAACTACCAACAAGTGACCAGTATTGATCGTATGCTAGTAATATGAAGCCCGCTTAAGGTACTTTGCTGTGATCAGCTCTTCAATCACAGCATTGCTATTTGCTGTATGCCTGGAACAAGTAGCAATTGCCCTGATGCAAATAGTCCTGTGTATTGAATCTCAGTGCTTTCTTTCCCTCCCCTAGATGTTTTCTGCTGTGTCCCTGGCATGCATATATACAGTATTGACTGAGGGTAGTGTTGGAATGAGTGGGTGCATGCTTGATTTTTCTGTATGCAATAATGGACTGCTGGTCTTCTGCATCTGGGAAGGGAAAAAGGAAATGGTCAGAGCTGCTATGAGGAGGTATTGCAAAATGGCAAAGTAGCAGAGGCATGCATTCAGGTCTGGGCTGGGGAAGGATGGAGTAGCACAGCAGCCTCTAAATGGCTGTTTGCAAATCTGACCTACAGACTTCCTTGCAATTAAACTCTTACCTGCCAGCTTGTATTTTGTAATGAAAAGTTAGTTGATCTTTTATTTTGTAGCTTCATCAACATTAGGAATGAATGAACAAGAGGAACAGAAGGATACAGAATCTCCATGGGATTCAGAGGTAGATTACTTTAGGATCACTAAGTATGATAACTTTTAAAGAGCTTCTGCTACACTCTTGCTTTTATTTCATTGCCTTCAGCTAGGTTACTTACACAGCTTTGGATGTGTTTTGGCACTTATGGAATTGATTCTTCCATGAAATAGAGGAAGATCTTCCTTTCACAAAGTTGCTTTCTGAACACTGAATTCAAACACCTAAAGGGCTACTAAAGTCTTAAGAGTCTGAATACTTTTATATTCTCTGTAGTAGAAGATGATTCCTGTTCCGTAGAAGTAAATGTACTTCATTGCTATTGAAAAGTTAAACAAGATTTGCATCTGGCTTTTAATTTTTGTCCATAGTGTACTTCAGAAAGCCCCAGAAAGCCAACTATTGGTTCTTTGCCTATATCTCCTGCCAAAATGCACAGCATTACAGAAGAACCATGTAATGGTAAGCTTGTCATAATAATTGTCCCTGTTTTCTGTTATTTTCCTCACAGACACACACACTCTATTTTACAAATGCTTTAGGAATAAAAACTATCTGATACGAAATATGGAGAATGGTAGTTGCACAGATATTAGTTTTACACCATAATGTTGCTTTATTAAGTAATTATTGACTTGGAAACTGAACTGTCTTCTTAAATAGGCCAATAGTATGCAAATTTACTCCGAAGTGTTTTCAATGGTGTTTACTCCCAAGTATGTTCACATAGGATTGCAATTTTAATGTCTCACATAATGTTTTAAGCCAGGGAAAGCTGGTTCAGTGTCTTCCAGATATTTTGAACTGCAACTCCCGTAACCCGCAGCCATCATCCATATTGGCTAGAGAGGATGGGAGGAATAGTTCCAAACACCTGGAGGACACCAAGTTGCCTGTCTTAGGACAGTGCCTTAAAACTGAATTCTCTCTGTGTGAGGGGTGAGGGACAGTTCCACATGTGTTTAGTACACTAAATGGTAACTGAAAATTGCAGGACTCTCGCAATGTAGGCAATTAAATTTCTTCTTTTCATTTCCCAGGGAAATCAGATAATTTACAGGTAAATATTACTCTTTACCTACATTACAAAAAATGTACCGACTTCTTTATTGAAATATTGTGATGTCTTATTTCATTGTCTTCTGTTGTTGTAGCCAAAGACTAATAAAGCAAATTGGGAACATGATGCTACTAGTAGAGATGCCAGAGAAAAGCAAAAATCAGGTAAAGTTTGCTGTAGTAAATTATTTACAATGAGGTGGGGAAGGACAACTTTCATAACATTTTCATAAATATATGTGTGTTTCTCCTTTCAGATTTAATGGAAGAACTTGGCTTAGATGCTGCAGATGATATTGAAGGTTGTTGGATATCTAAATATATAATTTTGTCTCACACCTAGAAAGTTAAGCATAACAACACACTGTATCTGACAATATTGAAGCTAGTACATTTTATCCTGTACTCTGAGCACCATTTTTGGTGGAAAGACAAGATATAAATTTATTAAAAATGCATTATATTGCAAAGATAAAGAAGAAAATCAAGTTTTCATCACAAAGCTAGGAGTGCTATTTTCACTCAAGAAAAGAAGACAGCATGTTCTGCATACATTTTCTGCTTCAATCTATCAAAGACTAGGTTTCTCTTACCTTTGAAGATATATGAGCCAGTATTATTGTAAAAATTTAACACTTTCATACATAGTTACTCATTCCTATCTTTTAAGCATTAATTAATATTTTTAGGAGACTGGTGCTAGTTCATATTGTAGGATTATTTTGACCACAGAATTGTTTTTTTTTTATTAGTAGGGATGGACAGGCATGTGTTGTTTGAGCTTGTTGAGATTCTCAAAATTCTTTCTTAGTTTGCCTTGGTTTGCAAGCATTTTTCTTATCTGTTGGGAAAAATGTGCATTTTTAGAAGTGGACAGAACTTGTTTTCATAATTCAGGAACAGAATTGTTGAACTTCCCTACTTAGTATGAGTAACAGATTATAGATGTTAACTGTTGAATGATGGTAAAATGTATCAAATTATTCTGTTGTCTAGCAAATGTAAATGTGTCATTGCCCTTAATTTTTTTAACATCTTGACTTTTTCAGATGCTTCTGACTGGGATTCAACCAGCATTTCACTTAAGAGTGTTCCCTGTACTAAATCTTTTAACAACTTGATGCTGGAAAATCCTCCATATCCATTACAGTTAGCAAAAGGTAATACTGCAACCAAATTCTTTGTTCATGTGACAGTAGAACAATTGTTTAATCATAGAATAGTAGTGTTGGAAGGGGCCAAAGGGCCATCGGGTCCAGCCCCTGCTGAATGCAGGACTCCAAGTTAAACCATCCCTCTCAGATGGCTTCCCAGCTGTAGCCTGAATTCCTCTAGTGTGGGAGAGCCCACAAGTTCCCTAGATAATTGGTTCCACTGCCATACTCCTATAACAGAGAGGAAATGTTTCCTGATCTCTAGCCTGAATCTTGCTTCCTCTAACCTGAGGCCATTATTCCATGTCCTGCACTCTGGGATGATCAGGAAGGGATCCTGTCCTACCTCTTTGTGACAGGCTTTCAAGAATCTCCCCTCAGCCTTCTCTTCCCGAGGCCAAACATGCCTTGTTCTTACAGTCTCCCATCGCAGGGCTTGGTTTGCAGTCCTTGGATCATCCTTGTTGCCTTCATCTGCTCCCTTTCCAGCTTATCTGTATGTTTCTTAAACTTGGTGCCCAGAACTGCAAACAGTACCCCAGATGAGGCCCAACCAGTACTGAGAACTAGTACTGCATGTGATTTGGAAGTGATACTTGTATGAATTCAGCCTAAAATAACATTTGCCCTTTAGCAAATGTTGAGATAATTTAATTGTTTCAGAAGGTAACTGATTTCATTCTTCATAAAATCAGGGTCTGTAAACTGAAGCAGATGCCTAACCATGTGCTGTTTACAGCTGCTAGTTACAACCCAGTCAGCTTTTAGTGGAGTCACAGGGCAGAGCTGTGATTTGCAAGGGTTGAAATGAGCCAATTCTGTGTGCTAGTCTTCATTCTAATCTACATTGAAGTGTTAATTAAGTTGGAAGGGTGGGAAGAAATAGTTTTTCAGGACCCAGAGTCCTCTGTTCAAAACACTTTCAGGGATTGGGTGCATTACACCTTTAAACCATGGAATGTGAACCTGGTGTCCACATGCAGCCAAATAAGATAGAATCATGATGTGAGTTGTGAGGTGGCAGAATGAACAATAAAACATATTCTGGAACTTTTTAAGTATATATCAAACATTGAAGGTTCTTAGTGGGTTATCAGGAAAGCTTTGACAATGCTTATTGTGTACACTCAAAGCAGCAAATGGATAGTTCGTGAACTCTATCAAATAAAAATATCCATATTTTTATTCTTTTCATCTGAACATAAAAAGAAATAGCATAACTTTGTGCAATATTTTGTCCTATGCCTTCTGTGATTTGTCTTTTCATAAATTAATTAATTTTAATTAATACATAGGCTTGCATACTTGGTTATTGAAATATTCCAGGAGAAGCATTTGGATTTTATACTGTCTGCTCTTAATGCATGTCTGTTTACTTGCAAAATATACAACAACATGAGGACTATAATTGTTATAAATGTCTTTATCAATTTTTTTTTACAGATGTTCAACATAATGAACAAAAAGGTGAATTTGGAACTGATGAGAACAAGGTATATAAATTAAAATTGATTTCAAAGTTGATATTGAGTACCATTGCATATTATGTAGTTGAAACTCATTTTCTTTAGTTATGCAGTGATTTTGTTTTGAAGTTAAAAGAACAGGTTTTATGTCCTTGGCCACCCTGCTTCCAGTTTCTACATTGTTACTTCTTATTCTATCCATTTACTTCCAGCTAGGTTTCTCATCTTTACTAATATTCTCTAACCTTTTCTAAAATGAATAATATGATAGTTATGAATTGTCTGCTTCTTAATATGGACCTTTTCTGAGGTTTAGTTGCAAAGTTGTGGCCAACCAAGACATAAGTAATTGGGCCATTCTTAATTATGTGGGAATTTCTTTGATGTCTTTGGTTTCTGTGCTTTCAGTGCATTCATAGATGGTTTATTCTGTGGAGAAATAAATGAATAATGGAGGAGGGGTAGAATTCCAGTTATTTTGTAAATATCTTAAATTTATTAGCACAAGAGTGTTATTATTCATTTATGAATTCCTACACCATTTTGTGTTGCATCTTATCCTACCAACCTGTAATTCTATAGCTTATAAACTGTCGTTCATAGAGTGTTTTTCAGCAAATGGGCAAAGGAAAGTATAAAAATCCATAAATATTATCCATACAAAACTGTTAGCAAACCAGCTGGTCTGCTTCTGTAATATGGCAGTAGCTAAGGAATTCCCAGTACTGGTAGACCTTGGCAGTACATGCTCCTTTGACTCTTACAGATCAAGTCATCTTGGCACAGCATGTCCAAAAGGCAATAACATTTCATCAAGGGAATATTGACATATACAGTATCTTTTTTACCTTTTTAATGTTTCAATATCTAATAGTTTCTCATTCTTAATATGAAAGCAGACTAATAAAATACATAATTGTGAATAAGAGATTGAAATTATTTGAGTTCTTCCCTCTATGCTATTAAGATTCCTTTTAGCAAATTGAAGCTTTTCCTACCCCTACAATTACCAAAAAATGCGGGGATCCATATAAATTTGTTACTTTCTACATGCACCATAGCTCTGTGCTGAGAGTTACCTCTGGAGCTGTCTTTAGGACAATAACCTCTGGAAGGAATGTGGCAGCCACAGCAGCTGAAACGATCCTGCTTAGCTGACTCAGGGTGACCCACAGTTTGCACAAGGTTGGGAGGTCTTGCTGGGAGATGGTTCTGGGAAGCTGGCTTTCTTTTGGGACTAAGCTGAGAAACTCACTGCACCAGCAGAGCAACTCAATTTGTGTTGGGAAACCTGAAGCTTGTAAAGTTTTCAGCAGTGGGTATGGGACATGTGATAATGATAACACATGTATGAAAAGGCATGATGGAGCTAGGAAGGAAACTCTTTATCCTTCTTTTCTACTTATTTCCATGGCTGTTTTCAAGTTGCTAGTTTATATAGGGTTGTTGTGATTGCCACTCCCATTCCATTTGAATGGGAAATGTTGAGGGGTTAGCAGTGATGTGTGAGACTTCCCTTCATGTGGGAGGAAATTGTGACCTATTGGGTGTTACTACCCAGTCCAACACATCAGGCTTGTTAAGCACTATTGGGTGAATTAAGGCTCATAATCTCTCGAAAGTCTGTAGGGGTGAGGATGTCTCTTTCTCCCTCTTCAACTTATTTAGTCCCTCGTCTACACAAGAAGTAAGAATATAGAAAAGGAGCATAATATTAGTGATACAATATATCATTTTCTTTTTTATTTAAACTTTGTGATCTGTTTGAAAGAGTTTGACAGGTTATAAATATATGTATATTTTGTATCTGACAAAGAAAGGAAAAAGTTTATTTTAATGCTACAGTGAAATTAATCCAAGAACTGTTAAAATGTAATAGTTGAAGAAACAAATATTGTAAAATAAATGTTCCTGTTCAAATATACTTAAAATCAGATATATGTTGTAACATCTATAGATTAATTTTTAGTAACACATTGGTTATTCTTTGCTAATTTTTTTGTCCATACTTGCTTGCATAAGGATAAAGGTGTAATAGACACTCACAATTCTATAGAAAAACCATCACCTGAAAAGCAGATTGACAATACTGAACTTTCATATATTCATGATGAAAAGAAAACTGGAGAACTAATTCACAATGAAGAATCAAACAATGAATGCAGCAATTTTGATTCAACGCTCTGGGAAGAAAGATATGAAAAAATGTGGGTTGCTAATGAAAAAAAGGAAGTTAAAACAAATTTTAAGAGCATTACAGCAGAGCTAAAGCAGATGTTTGGTGAAATTATAAGTAGCAAAGTAGATATGTCTGTGGAAGGAAGATCACAAGATGGCATCAGTGATGTATTAGAGGACATAAAACAATCATCATCACCTCATCTGTCTGAAGCTACCATTGATATACAAGGAAAGGGTGATATTGGACAGTTAAAGTCTGTCACTTCAGAAAAAACACTCAACACTGAAAACTCAGTTTTATATCCTCAAAATCCTGTTTCTCATATGCTTCTTTTTAAACCATGTGAAAATTGGAAGCAAAATGTTGAACAAAACTGGAAAACAAATAATGAGGTTTTATCTAATAATATAGAAGGTACAAAAATACATGTAAGTGAAGAAGGAAATGACAATACATGTGTACAACTGGAAACAAATGTGGATGGCAATACTACTGCTTCAGGAACATGTCCTCTTTATTCACCAACCCATTGTTTTAAAGACATCATTTCAAGTACAAGTTTTGAAGCTACCTGTATCAAACAACCAGTTGTGACTGACAATTTAAACACATGTTTTGATATAGCTAAAAGTACAAGTCAAGAAATGGCATGCTATTTTAATGCTAGTAAATATTTTGATACTGAGATTGGAACTAAAGTGAAATATTCTGAACAAACCTGCCATCAGTCAACAAAAAAAGAACTGGATGATGAATTAGAACGCGATGTTGCAAGATTTAAGAATGAGGTAGGAATGCTACAGATAGTGTTCCTGGCATTGGAGAAAGAAAAAGCTCAACTGCAAAAAGAGGTAGACAAGTACCTGCTGCTTTTCATTCCTTAGTCTTTTCTCACACCACAGCCATCCTGTTCATTTCAGCTCTTCAACATTTATTGAAAAGCCTTCTTTCTATGTTGGCTTTATGTAATGCTTCTAAAACAATTCAGGAAGGAAGAGATTATATAAGTTTTTCTTCCATTCTGTGTTAGATGGTGATTTTAAGAACATTTGATTCAAAATTTTAAAAACTGCTCTAACATGATAGGACTCCAAAAGTTTAAATAGGTGCAACTTCATAACAAATGAGCAGCACCCATTTATATACTGGTTATATACCTGGTGCAAAATGTGAAAGTAGCTTCTGAACAGGGTATTGATTGAACTTTTCATTTGCTCTCATTCTTACTAAGCACTCTTCAATTTGTTGTGTGTAGCTTCTTTTATTTCCTTCATATGTTATTTTTGATCATTTTCAAAAATGGTACCTGTTTTGTTTTAATGTAAAACTGTGTGTTCCTGATTCATTTTTTCCTGTCACTAATAGTTTTTTCATTACATTTTGTTAAACAGTACTAATTCTTACTAACTACAACTTTAGCAGTGATTGAATAGCTTATTTTCAAGTGTGAAATTGTTTTCTGTTTTGGAGGAATAAGCAAAATTAAATAACAGAACTAACATTGACTTATCATTAAGGGTATGTTATTTGCAGTCTAGCAAATCCATTATATTGTTACATTGCTTCAGGTTGAAGAGGGAAAAAGAAAATGGGAGTTGGAGGCTGAAGGAAGAAAAGAAACTGCAGATATTGAAAAGAAGTTGGCTGTGGATATTGAACAGAAAACTGAGCAGAAGCCTACAGTAAATGAAAACCAGCATATTAAACTAGAAGGTGAAATAGAAGAAGAAAGCCAAATAATTAACAGAATTTCCTCACCAGATAGAAAGGGATTAATTCCAATACCTTGTCCAGGGTGAGTATGAAAACTAAAATTAATTCTGTTCTCATTTAAACCAATTTGATTAAATATTTTTGCACAGTAATGCCTACATGAAAACATTCAAACTTGAGATACACATGTCTATGACTTTAGTACAAATATAGGAAAGAAAAGAAAAAGTTGGCTCATGTCGTATCAGTCCTCTGGCCCGTCTAGCACATTATTGTCAACATTAGTGACTGATCATTATTCTGTAAAGTTTCAGATGGGAGTTTTTTTCAGCTGTAGTGGAGATTCTCAGGGAATGAATTGGGATTCTTTTACATGTAATGTATGTGGTTTATGCTCACGCACACGCAAACACACACACACACAGAATAACTTAGGACACAGTCCAGTAAGAATGCCCATAGCCCTCTGAACTTGGACGATTATGAATTTCCTATGCAGAATCAGTGGTATGCCACATATTCAAATCCAGGAATAAATCCACTACCTAGCAATAGTTTTCCTATGCTTTCTCCTTGTATTTTCAGTTTAGCCAAAGGAATGTTCAGAAGGAGCAGGAGGATGAGAAGACTTTTCAGATAGTCTCCTGTGTTCTATTCATAATGTTAACAGTTTGTTTAACTGAAATAACAAAGACAGAAGACAATATATGATATAGTTCTCAATACAAGCAAATCTAATGATTAAAGATTAAACAGATTAAATCTATGTGCACATTTATGGGTTTCTAGTGCAGTTTTGTATTCATCTTTGCTCATATACATAACATTTTTCAAAAAACTGTTTTGCCTACCACTGGTGTAGCTTAATTTGCCCCCATGTATGTTGCCATTTTATATTATTATTCTGATGCAGACACTTCTGTTGTTTTAGTTTAGTTTTTTGTTTTTGTTTGTTTTTGTTTGTTTGTTTGTTTTTTGTAACCTCATGTCAAAATATTTTTCTGGTGCTTTCTCAAATGTTGTATTTTTCTGTATTTTAGGAAAAATCTTACTGCCAGTGTGAAGGATGTAAGAAAAGGGGGAAAACAAAGGCGGATTTCAAAGCAAAGAATTAATCAGCAGATTATGGAAAATCTACACCAACTGGAGGATGACAGCAGTTTGAGTGAAGTTTCTCCAGAAGAAGCAGGGTACTTACAATCATTATATTGTCTGTTTTTGGTGGGTTTTTTATTTTTGAATGATTATTTATGGATGTAAAGAGTTGCCTCACTCAAAATGAAACCAGTGATGCATTTAGCCAAGTACTATGCTTCCTGATTGGCTAGAACTCTCCAGGATCTTGGTTAGAAGTCTTTTCCATTACATGTTAACACCACCAATTTGCCTGATTTATCATATACCAGCATACTTGTCAATCACTGAAAGCATGCTAAAAATGTAAACAATTGTAGAAGCTATTTATAGATCTGATTTGCATAACTGAGAACTCTGGTATGGATTTTAAAGGTTCTCCCTTCCCTGCTACTACCTGAGTGCCTTTTTCTCCAGCAGAAGTGTAGACCTAGGCTAGGTAGGGAATCTCCTCACTTAGCCCAGGTTCTTCCTTCCCCTTCCGCAGCTCAAGATAGAAGTGGGGGAATCAGCTGATCAGTACTGCTCCCAGCTGGGTAGTGCAGCCAAGGTGATTGCTCCCTCTTCTGCTATTGCCTGAAAGATGTTGTTTCTTTCAGGTGCGGACCAATGCCAGCCCAGCTGATTACCCAGTCAGCGCGTGCCTGGAGACTTCCTTTCAGGCAGTTTGAGGAATCACTGTTCCTTTCAGCAAAGCCACCTAGTTGAGCTCCCCCTCCACCCAACCAACTTGTGCCTGAGAGTGGATCAGACATTCCCCCTACTCCAGATATCTCTTCTGGAGGAGAAGGCAAGGGTGCCTGATCACCTCCCTTGCTTCTCTGCTGTTTTAAGGACCTAAGCAAAGGTCTTGTTTGCTCAGCAGAGACAGTTGAACAGCCCAGGCAAGCCAAAGATGGCTTGCTTCTTCATTGGCTGAGTTGAAATACTTTTATTTGTAACTGTTTCATAATTGTAAATTTGTTTGTTTGTATTCTAGATGTCCAGCCAATGAAAATAAGGTAGGCTACTCCCCCCCACCCAACTTCTAACCGTCTATATAAAGTGACTAATAGATTTAAGGAATTAGATCTGATAGACAGAGTGCCTGAAGAACTATTGACGGAGGTTCACAACACTGTACAAGAGGCAGCAACTAAAACCATCCCAAAGAAAAAGAAATGCAAGAAAGCAAAATGGCTGTCTGAGGAAGCTTTACAAATAGCTGAGGAAAGAAAGGAAGCAAAAGGCAAGGAAGAAAGAGAAAGAAACGAACAATTGAATGCAGAATTCCAGAGAATAGCTAGAAGAGATAAGAATGCCTTCTTAAATGAACAGTGCAAAGAAATAGAAGAAAACAATAGAATAGGGAGGACCAGAGATCTCTTCAAGAAAATTGGAGATATGAAGGGAACATTTCATGCAAAGATGGGCATGATAAAGGACCAAAATGGCAGGGACCTAACAGAGGCAGAAGAGATTAAGAAGAGGTGGCAAGATTACACAGAAGAACTATAAAAGAACTATAAAAGAAAGAGCTTAACGTCCCTGATAACCATGATGGGGTGGTCACTGATCTCGAACCAGACATCCTGGAATGTGAAGTCAAATGGGCCTTAGGAAGTCTGAGCAACAACAAAGCTAGTGGAGGCAACAGTATTCCAGTTGAGCTATTCAGAATCTTAAAAGACGATGCAGTAAAAGTGCTATACTCAATATGCCAGCAAATTTGGAAAACTCAACAGTGGCCACAGGATTGGAAAAGGTCAGTTTACATTCCCATCCCAAAGAAGGGCAATGCCAAAGAATGTTCAAACTACCACACCATTGCACTCATTTCACATGCTAGCAAAGTTATGCTCAAAATTCTACAAGCTAGGCTCCAGCAGTATGTGGACCAAGAATAACCAGAAGTACAGGAAGAATTTCGAAGAGGAAGAGGAGGGGAAGAGGGAGAGGAACTAGAGATCAAATTACCAACATATGCTGGATCATGGAGAAAGCTAGGGAGTTCCAGAAAAACATCTGCTTCATTGACTATGCTAAAGCCTTTGATTGTGTGGATCACAACAAATTGTGGCAAGTTCTTAAAGAGATGGGAGTACCAGACCATCTTATTTGTCTCTTAAGAAACCTGTATGCGGGTCAAGAAGCAATAGTGAGAACTGGACACGGAACCACTGATTGGTTCAAAATTGAGAAAGGAGTTCGGCAAGGCTATATACTGTCGCCCTGCCTATTTAACTTATATGCAGAGCACATCATGAGAAAGGCGGGGCTAGATGAATCAGTTGAATTAAGATTGCTGGGAGAAATATCAACAACCTCAGATATCCACTCTTGTGGCAGAAAGTGAAGAGGAACTAAAGAGCCTCTTGATGCGGGTAAAGGAGGAGAGCGCAAAAGTTGGCTTGAAACTGAACATTAAGAAAACTAAGATAATGGCAAATAGATGGGGAAGAAATAGAGGTAGTGACAGATTTTATTTTCCTGGGCTCCAAGATCACCGCAGATGGGGACTGCAGCCATGAAATTAAAAGACGCTTGCTCCTGGGGAGGAAAGCTATGGCAAATCTAGACAGCATACTAAAAAGCAGAGACATCACCCTGCCGAAAAATGTGCATATAGTCAAGGCTATGGTTTTCCCAGTTGCAATGTATGGCTGTGAAAGCTGGACCATAAGGAAGGCTGAGCGCCAAAGGATTGAGGCCTTTGAATTGTGGTGCTGGAGAAGACTCCTGTGAGTCCCTTGGACTGCAAGCCGATCAAACCGGTCAGTCCTAGAGGAGATCAACCCTGACTGCTCTTTAGAAGGCCAGATACTGAAGATGAAACTCAAATACTTTGGCCACCTAATGAGAAGGAAGGACTCCCTGGAGAAGAGCCTAATGCTGGGAACAATAGATGGCAAAAGAAGAAGGGGACGGTAGAGGATGAGGTGGCTAGATGGAATCACTGAAGCAGTTGGTGTGAGCTTGGGTGGACTCCAGGAGATGGTGGAGGGCAGGAGGGCCTGGAGGAGTGTTGTCCATGGGGTCGTGATGGGTCGGACACTTCGCAACTAACAACAACAACAACACTCCCCTCCCCCCAACTTCTAACCATCTATATAAAACAGTAGGTGTTTGGTATCTAAACTAACTAACTTCTTTACCATAGTTTGTAAACTAACTTCTTTACCATAGTTTGATGTGATGTCAAGTCAGACCATAAACACATAGCTTTCAGTATATGAGAAACAAACAGAATGAACTTGTATTCTTAATACATGGAGGCAAATACTAATATCCCACCCTATTGGTCAGATAACTCCCATGACTAGAATATAGCAATTGTTCAAAAAGATCATTATTGAGTCATGGGATGAACACTGCACTAACAGAATCCCTAATCTATCCTGCTGGCCCAGCACAAGATGCAAACATTCTAGACTAGGAGTAAGATGGACAGGAAACATGGAGAGAGAGAGAGAGACTATGGCAACCACCTTTTCCCAGCCCTCCAGTCTTCTCTAAGGCTGTATCAAGTACCCTGCTGGGGAAAGGTGGGAGAGGATAGCTCCTGTCTTTTAACCCAGCTCCTATCTTTTAACCTCCTTGGTTATACATGCTGGATCAGCTGCCTCATCCACTGTTAATTCATGGTTGTAGGAGGTTTTATTGTGCCCAAAACTCACATTTGAAAAAGACCCAAGGGCAGGCTGATAGAGCAACCACTAAACCTAAAGAAGGGTCAGAAGACAACACAGTCATTACCTGCCTGAACTGTGTTCTACTTGCCTGGCTAGCCCTCCAGCCAAGGCCATATCTCCCTATATCTGTCACTACAGTAATTGACTCCCTGTCAGGACCCCCAGTTAGTCCCGTACCCTCCCCCCACTGCACATGTACAAGGCTTGTGAAGAAGGAACAACTCCACCTTCATAGAGTGTTGTGATGTCGGAGGGGTGACCCTTGCCCTTGAATTCAACCCCACCAAACTGTTGATCACTTTTGGAGACTGCCACTGAGGCATCATTGCACCATTTTGGGCTAGAAGTTAGAGGTCTGCTGGACATCCACCCCAGATGGGAGCGGTTTGTCATTAAGCTTGAAGTTTCTCTCCTCTTGACAGCACTAGCGCTTGTAGAACATTCCTCAGGCAGAGTCCCAACTCAGTTGTAAGGTCTAGGAGAGAGGTGGTGGGTGGCTACAGTCAGGATGCTGTGACCAGGGTACAGGTGCAGGGTGGAGGCTTGCGCCAGACTGGGAGGGCCAGAGCAAAAGGCATGTCTACAAGGTCAGAACTGGAGTGAAAAGAATGAGGCAACAGGATTCAAGCACAAACATGGTCCAGTAGAAGGCCAAGGGCCAGATGCCACTGAGACAGACATGTGCAGGAGCAAAGCGAGGTCAGGAAGAATGAGGTGCAGGTACCTGGCCGGGGCAGGGTCAGGCTGGAGGCAAGAATGAAGACAGAATCAGGCTGGAGCCAGGCAGAAGTCAGACATGTAGACAGGCAGGAACAAGAAGAGGGTCTTAGTTCAAGGCAAGACTGGAAGTCAGAGCAAAAAGTAGCCAGCAGAACAGTTTGTGATGCTGTGGCAAAGAGGAGCAGTGTAGTGAAGCCTTGTATGGTATTCCCCAGGGCTTCTAGCTGCACTGCATCATTATCACACACCGGTTCCCTGCAGGCCTTTGCAGGGTGAATCAGACTGCAATCCCAACACCAGTCAGTAACATGGGGCTGCTGAGAAGAGCGTAAAGAAGGTACAGAAAGGACTGCCAGCATTCTTACCTATCCCTGAGAAATGCAATAGCAGCTGATGTTATTAGTTGTGCAAGGACAATCAAGGTATAATAGGGGCTCCATGGTCATAACCTCCAGCCTCCTAGGACCTGCAGTAGAGCTAATTTATGTGCATGAAAAAGCCGGGAGCATAGAAACTAATATTTATAATCTGATGGTAAAACAGAAAATTCACAAATAGAACAGAATGGTCAACAGCTTTTACATCCCAGACTGACTTGTTATGATATGCAGCAATGTCTTTCTCTTCTGATTGTGGGTTTATTATTCATAGATCTACAATGCAACGGACATTGATAATGATTTCGATGACTTTACTCAGTCTTCAGATACAGCTACAGAGGATATTGAGTTGCCTACTTTAATGTATAAAGAAGCTGTTATATTGATAGAACAACTTAGTTTGGATAGTAAAGGTGAGCACGCTGCTTATTGTTATCAATAGTTATAAAATTATGAATCAGTATATGAATCCCTGTATGAGTTCTGCTGATAAGTTACTTGATTCATGAATGCTACAGTAAGATCCTGTTGAGAGGGACCTAACATCTATTTGCTTTTTAAAAAACAGGGATCCCTCTAATTATAGAACATGAAGTAAACATTAAAATAGCAGTTGAGGATTCTGATCAAGTTCTAAGACACAATGAAAGTAATTATGTTTCTGAGCTGATCCCAGTCTAAGAGCATTTTGATTTCTTGTAACAAATAGTAGTTTTGTTCTCTGAAGTGAAAATGCTATGTTCCCACTGTCAAAAAAGCATATCTAAGTGAATAGTAGTTTTCTGAACTGTTAATATGGAATAATAAAAACCATAAAAATGGGGTGCAGGAAGTTTGCCCGGTTCACAACAGAAGAACTTCAAATGAGGACTAGATGGACCTCAAGGTCACATAGTTGGGGGATAGTCAGTGGAAGCCAGAAATTGACAGCGATTGTTCTTCTTACATCATTTCTAGAATATTCTTCAGTCAGTGTAGAGAGACACTCACCCTTTCTCTCTTTCTCTGTTGTGTGCAGAGAGAAAGAGAGAGAGAGAGAGAAGTACACATGCATTTTAAAAATAAGGAAATGTGTGGATAGAAATGCTCAGTAAAGCTAACACGCAGTCTAACAAATCTGAAACCTTACCCAGTAGCATTAATTATAGCAGAGTACAGAGAAACACTTTCACAAAAAAGACGTTGTTGCTGGTTTGTTTACTTTGTTTATTTGTTTGCCTTTTTTTACAGGAAAGACATTTTTGTTTTTGAAAAGTAGCAATGCAACTGAGTTGTAATGCTAAACTTGTTGCTAGAAAGTAAGACCCATTGAACATGCTGAATAAACATAGGGTTGTGCTGAAAGAAAAAATAATTTACTTAAAAAAAACTAAACCATCTACTGTGTTTTAAATAAAATAGCCATTGATAAAAGAAATACTTAAAGCATTTAGGACTGGAATAACTATGTTAATAGGGATAGATTTTATAGGTCACCAACTGGAAAGTTATCGTTAACTAATACCAACATAGGCTACTTCAAGGTAAGGCAACTCTTCTTTAGCAGTGGTGTTTAATTTGGACACAAAAATATTTGAAGTATCACTAACTAGACACAACACAGACGTTGTGGAAATATTGGATACTTAGCAAGTATTATTATATCTAGACCTTCTTAAAAGACTGACATATCCACAAGAAAGTTAATCAAACCATTGTTGGAATTTGGAGATATACCTTGATCTGAATGAGATATTTTAGATGTATTTATAGAAACTAAACAAGGAGAAATGTATGACAATGTAACAGACTAAGAATATAAGTATTTGAAAATGAAACTGTCAAATGTTACTGGTAGGTTAATTAAACACAGATCTATTAATTAATGGATTTGAATAGATGGTAGATATTGACTTTATCATGGCTGAGAAAAATATGGTAAAAATGATTCTATTACTACCATTTCTCCTTTTGTTCTAGGCAGTAAAGATGAAAAACTTTCAGGAAAATTAAATGTCATCCAATTTGTATTAAATCATTTTATATGAACTAAGGCACCTGGTTATAGAATATCGGTGATGCAGTAAAAGATATTAGAAGGGATATTATCTAAGTATTAAGTGTAACCATGCAGCAGATGAGTGGGCTGGTAGAGCAGGAGTAGAACACTGTCCCTTCTCTGTGCCCAGCAGAGAAAGCCACTGGAATGCCAGAAAAAGGAAGCCCTCTCTTCGGTATTTAATATGCAGCAGGCTGCTGAAAGGGGATGGAACATTCTGTGCTTCCTCGGTCAGTCCTCAGCGGACTAGTAAAATGTCTTCAAGCTAGTACCTTTTGTGGACTTGCTTTTAAAAATACTGTATCATCATCACATTGCATTTATATCCCAATTTTTTTTCTTCTTGCAAGGAACCTAAGATGGCTTACATAGCTCCATTTTATTCCCACAACAGCAACTGTGTGAGATAGGTTAGACTGAGAGTCCATGACTGGTACAAATCACCTAGTGAGCTTCATAGCCAGGTGAAGACTAGAATCCAGATCTTCCAGGTCCTCAGTCCAACACTCTAACCACCATACCACATTTACATTTCTTTAAATTAACAAAACAAAAGATCAGTTGATGTTAAGATGCTGAAACTAACTCTTATAAAATACTGAAAACTGAGATTGTTACAATCTCTAAACCTCTCTACAATCTCTACAATCTCTTCTATGAGAAGATGATAGAGAATCACAACTTTAAACAATCCCTAGGCTCTTCATCCATGCCTGTCTCCACATAGCCCATTTTATATGCCTGCTTTTGTTTGACGATGGATGATTAATTATTCTAAAATAATTAATGATTGCCACTTTGTTGTAATAATTTTGTACCTGCCCTGAAAAAAGACTTGTAAGTGGCCTCATATTAAACATTGAAATGGTGCTTTCTTCTGTTTTAATGTGGGGGGAAGTGGGAGTGGTATAGCAAAACACTCATCGTGTATGACATCAAATAAGATGGAGGAGGAGAATGATGTAAGCTGCCTTGAGCCCTTTGTAGGAAAAAGGCAGGATATAAATCGGAATAAATAAATAAATAAATAAATAAATAAATAAATAAATTTTCTAATTCTTGTAGATTTTCTATGTGTCCAAGGATTTTAGATTTGCTGAGTTTGGGGTGGAAGTCACCTGCATGTACAATACAACTAAAGAGCTGCCTTTTACATTGCAGAGAATGGGGAAACCTGGACTTGCCAGGAATTTGATGTTTGCATCACACCTCAGTGACAGAATCATTGTGTTGATTTTTTCAGATGTAAAATACATAAAGTGCAGAATTCATGTAGGTTTCTTTTTATGACGTAATACAATATTCTTTTTCCAAAGCAGATTCTGTAAGTCTCCAGAAAATTCAAAATATATTTCATGGATATGAACGTTTAATTGAACATGAAAAGGGACGTTATACTCAGCAATTAAGAAGAGTTAAAAAACTTGAGAAAGAGAAAAAAGAACAGCAGAGAACATTGGAAGAAATGAGAGAAATGAAATCTATGTTGGAACATCAAAAAGTAGAATGGGAAAGTGATATCAGTAGTCTCAAGTAAGAATGCTTCAGTAAACCTTCAGTTCAGGCACTTTGATAGATCTATGTAAATATATAAACAAACAAACTGTAGGACTAAAGTCAAAATGTTTAGGCAGTAAAAATGTTTGCTTAGAATATCGTCGTTCCTTCCACTTAATTTAGAATAGGACAGGACAGGACAGAAGTGGCATAGCTTTGTGTTGGCTGTTCATCTAGGACCATGCAGCTTCACACTTGATTCAATCAAAATACATTTTTGAACCTGTGATTGTTAAAAATATGTATGGATTGGAAATGAGGCAGGTATATTGGAGATTAATTTTACTATATCCCAATTCCTGTTATGTCAGTGTTGTTATGTCTAACATTTTTCAAGGATTTCTATGAAGTACTTTTATCTAAACGTGGTAACCTTAGAATTAGAATTTAGTATCCCAATTAATTCTACTTTGTGCAGGGACTACAAATCTATAAAACAAGGCTAAGGATCCTGTGACCTTCAAGATGATGTTGAACTACAGTTCCTATAATCCCTGGCTATTGGCAACATTGACTGTGTCTAATGGGAGATTGAGTCTAGAAGGCCACAGCTTCCTCAGCCCAGCTGTAGGTTAGTTATGTTAAATCCATCCAACAAAATTATTTTTAGATCAGTTGCCAAATGTAGCTGTATTTTAAGGGAACTTGCGTTAAGATGATCAACATTACCTTTGTCATCCCCGCACTTGCTTTATGCTTAACTGTGTACACATTTGTTTGTCACACTGTCATAGGGCTCTGTGCTCATAAAGCCCAAAATGTGTTGTTCAAATTGTAGAATCTATACAATCCAATTTTATGATATATGAATCCTGTGGTTGGCATTTGTATGCATGTGACTTACGTACATGCGTATTTCCCTATAATCCTGTTTCTGCCTGTAGGCCAAATTCCATTTTGGGCCATATTCCAAGGGTGTCATGGTCAAAGACAAATGGACCAACAAACAGTCTGGTTTGATGCTCCTAATACTGATAATTATGCCTTACAAGAGGCTTTTCAGTCTTATAGTATACGGGGAAAACCTGCAGAAAATCTGGAAAACTACCAAAAAATTGATGTCCAGGGAAAGGAGGCATGGCAATCTGAGGAAACCCAGAGGCCCACATTTTGCCCTTAAGTGAGCCACATGTGAAGACTATGTGCTTCTTCCCTTTGCAAATATGATGATCCATTTCATGGACCACAGAGCTAGGCAAGCAAGCACAACCTCAATCTGCCCACTACACACACCTGAAAACATCATACTTCTCAATGTTCTAACAAGACCTCAAATGCTTATTTGTATTTTCATAAACATCTTTTAAAATCATAACATCCCAGATTTTCTTTGAAAGAAGAAGAAGAAAAGAGGGTGAGTGCTGAAATGCTGTATGAGAAAAGTCAAGAACAGTTAAGGAAGAAAGAGGAGCAGTACTGTAAACAGTTGGAAGAAAAACAGCAACTTGAGTTAACACTGAGAAGTCTAGAAATGGAACTGAGAACACTGAAAAAACACCTGAAACAGGTAGGATTGAATTCAGTGTACTCTCAATTTTGGAAAGGAAAAAGTTTTCTCATTTTGAGGTACGTTTTCCCTACTTTGGGGGGTTCAAGAATTGTTGTACCACGTGTGACCCCTTGGCTCCACCTCTGCTGACCACTCCGTCGCTCAGACTGGCCACCAGCTTTCCCTGAAATAAAGGCAAAATAGTTCAAAGGACCCATATGATAAGAAAGGGGAGGCAGCCCAACAGTGAGGATTTGTGGCTTTGGCTGAAGTCTTTAGAGTACTGTAACTAATTCCATATTTGCTAGTTTCACTTATCTGTGGGCTGAAGAACTGGCAGGATTGCAATATTTAGCCTTCATAAAATAACTGTGGCTACAAAGCTAATAGGTAATAATTTACCTTTGGATGCAGTGCTGACTTTCAGAGCTCTGGCCACAAATGTGATGGTTATTTATTTAAAACTTTTCTATACCGTCCCATACTTAAGAGTCTTGGGATGGTTTACAGCAGTAACCGTTAGAAGGAATGTTTGGACAAAATCCTGGCAAGTTTGTCCTAGTTCTCAGAAGCACCTTCCAAGTACAACTTTTCCAGGGACTAAACACTTTAGGAAGTTCAGAGCTTGTTGAAACCAAGGATAAAAAGAACTTTCAATCTAAATCCAAGCAAGATGCACATAAGAATAAATTTCAACAGAGCTTTCAGGTTTCCACCTTTCCTATTCATCCAGAGTGTTAGTGAGATTTAGGTCAGAATAATCCTATTGAGAGAAATTTGGTTGGACTTCTACTCCCTCTGCAGGAGCCAATTTCAGCAAGGGTACAAACAAATACTGTTCTGGTTGCCTGTCCTAGCATTCAGCTATAGGAAGCTGTGTTGTCCACTTCTCCCCCATGTGTTCCTAACAGTATTTCACACCTGGGTTGAAAAGACAATTGCACAGATATACCCAGCAGTTTTCAGGCATTCTAGCTGAAACCTCTTTTTCCAGCTTCCCAGAATGAATGAATAATTCAAATGAATGGATAGTTCAAATGAATGAATAATTCATGCAGGCATCTTTCACTTAGAAGCAGGCAGCCCTAGAAGGTCTGTCAAGAAATCCTCTTCTCTCCAGAATTTCCCATTTGCACTGATATCCGAAGCACTTGATTCTGTTACTAACCATTCTTCGTTGTGGCCTCTGCGCATCACACACATGGGTGCTACGCCTGCGCAGTGCCTTTGGCAGGAAGATTATAAGCTAATGGTTTATTTTGGTGGGGAAAAGATCCGCTCCCCCTCCCTCACAGCCTATCAAGAGCGGAGCATCCGCCATTTTGTTCAGTCTTTGCGACTGCCATTCACTGTGCCTCGTACCGCTTTCGACTATCGCTTTGATCGTTACTCGTAGCCTGTTTTTTCTCCTTTTACTCCCAGTTTTAGATCCCTGATAGTTCTTGTTAGCTCTAGTTATTTCTGCAGTTCTATTGTTCTACCGTTCTATTTTCTTCTTCTAAAACAAAAACAAAAACCAAAAATATATTCTTACCCTCTGCACTGTCTCCCTTTTTCTTCTTCTTCTTGCGATGGCACAGCGAGCAGCCTTCTGCAAATGTGTGGAGTGCGGGTTGAAGATGTCACCATCTGACCCGCACGACCTATGCCTCCTCTGCTTGGGGGAGGGGTATAGGACCGACAGGTGCTCCCACTGTCTGGCCTTCTCCAAGCAGGCCAGAAAAAATTGGGAGAACCGCCTCCGGAGGCTCCTGTGGGTTCGGGCTCTTATGCAGTCTGACCCACTGGTCACCGCTCCGAAGCCTGGCCCGGCTGCGGTGGTTCTGCCCTCCCGCCCATCAGACGAAGGTGCTTCTACTTTGAGGGCCCCACCAGCTTCTCCCAAAAAGAAAAGCGAGAAGCGCAAGCACGCCAATGCCGATAAATCGGCCAAAAAAGCCAGGAAAGAGAAGCCCTCTAAGCCGGCCCGAAAGGCGAAGGATCCGGACCAACCCCGACAGCATGTCTCGACAGCGCTCCAGGCAGCCATGAGGGTTACCCCTCAAGGGTCTCCCCGTCGTGTGGCTGACCCCCCGACCGAACCGCTTCCATCCCTCCAGCGGGGCTTGATCTCTGACGTAGAGATTCAGGACTCTCCCCCCAGAGCTAGGTCACCAATGCCTATGCCCATGGCCACACTGGAGGCGAATGTCATCGAATCCCCGCCCAGGGCCCGCCGGAGCCACTCCAGGGAGCAGCGATCCGAGCGATTCGAGGACTGGCGTCGCTCCTACTACCCATCTTGGGGCGAGCCATACTCGACTGGGTACTATCCCGTGCCGAGGGATCGATCCCCACCACACTCTCGTGATCGCCCACTGCCTCTGGATCCAAGGCGCATGTCCCCGGTACCCCGGGATGAAAGCAGCCGGTCCGCTTCGCCAGTGGAGTCTTCTTCTTCAGCCCCTCTGTACTATGGCGCGGACTCCGATGACTCGGACGTTGATTCTACCTCTCCCGACGTCGCGGTGACCTCCCAGGGCCCCGCATCACTGGACGAGTCGCACGTTTCTTTGCGGAGCTGATGTCCAGGCTTGTCCAATCCCTGGACATCGACGCCGTCCAGTGGCCAGGACCATCTACAGATAAAATCTATGACGTCCGCGGGGAGCAGTCCACCTCCATCGTCCTGCCCTTGATCACCACCCTACGGCAGGCGATGACCCAGCCCTGGGACTTGCCCTCTCACCCGCAACCAACATCGCGGAGGTACGAAGCCATGTACCGGGTTCGGGAGGAGGACATACCATTCCTCCTCCGACACCCCAAGCCGAACTTGGTCATGGTGGAGTCCTCCCAGGGAAGAGAGGCAAGGTGTCACACCGCGCCGCGAGATAAGGAGGGCCGCAAGATCAACTCCCTGGCCAGGAGGGTCTACGCAGCTTCAGGCTTGGGGCTGCATATCTCAAACTACGAGGCGATGTTGGCGAGATACCAGTATTTTATAATGCAACGCCTCCACAATGTCGTCTCGGCCCTCCCAGACCAACAAGGCGAATTGGCCAAAGCCTTGATTAAGGAGGCGATGCACGTCGCGGTGCAACAGTTGTCCACAGCCAGGCACCATGTGGACACTAACTCGAGGGCATTGGTCGGTGCCATTTCTCTTTGCAGGCATGCGTGGCTGAGGAGCACCAACTTCCCCGAAGAGACCAAGCGGCGCATCGAGGAAATGCCCTTCGACGGGTCCGGGCTTTTCCATTGAAAGACAGACCATAAACTTAAAAAACTTCATGAGTCCCGCATGACGGCCCGACGAATGGAGCTCCAGTCGCTTCCGAGGCGTAAGTGGCCATGGAACCGTCCACCCTACAGACAGCCGTATCATCCCAGGCAACAGCCTCAGCACAGGCAACAGCAGCAGCGCCGTCGACAACAGCCCCAGCAACACTACAAGCAGGGCCGTCGCCTATATGATGACAGGAGGCAGCATTGACGGGACTGGCAAACCATTCCTCTACCCTATCCTATACCCACCCCCCTCTCATCTGGGGACCGGCTGCCGACTCCCCATTTGGGAGTCCATCACATCTGATGGATGGTTATTATCTATCATACAGCACGGCTATAGGATAGAATTCGATACCGTTCCTCCATCGAGTCCGATTCGGTTTACATCTTGCACACCAGTACTGCTCAATGAAATACAACAACTTCTTCGTAAAGGAGCGATTCGTCAAGTAACTCAATATGACGGGCATCACGGATTCTGTTCTAGATACTTTACCGTTCCCAAATGGGACGGTGGCCTATGTCCGATTTTGGACTTACGTGGTCTGAATCAATTCATTGTGACGAAGTTTCGAATGACCACCCTCCAAAATATTTTGCTGCTGCTTAGGAAAGAGAACTGGTTCGCCTCATTGGACTTGAAGGACGCCTATTTTCATATTGCAATCCATCCCAAATATAGACATTTCCTTCGTTTTGCTGTTGCCCCCAATTTCTACGAATTCATGATTCTACCTTTCGGTTTGGCTACCACTCCGAGGGTGTTTACTAAATGCACGGCCCCTGTCTGTGCTTATCTACGCCTCCAGGGCATACAAGTTTCTCCTTACCTCGACGACTGGCTCCTAGTCTCCAGGTCCAGGGAAGCGCTCCTCACTTCTATCCGTATTACCTGAGCCTTATTGCACGACCTGGGCCTTTGCATTAATACTGAGAAATCTTCTCTCCTTCCGGTACAGAAGCTTACATTCATCAGAGCCCACTTGGATTTGACGTTGGAAAAGGCGTTCCTCCCTCGGGACAGACAACTGACTCTCGCTTGCCATGTTCATCGAATGCGACAAGACAGATCGGTTCCGGCGAAGTCCATCCAGAGACTTCTAGGACATATGGCTTCCGCCGTTGCAGTGGTGCCACATGCCAGACTGCGACTCCGTCCATTGTGGCTGTTTTTCAACAAAGTGTTCCACCCACAGAGGGATCCACCGTCAAAACTCCTTCGAGTCCCATCCTCGGTCCTCCATTCGCTAATATGGTGGTCAAACCCGACCAATCTGACTGTTGGGGTCCCCTTCAGGTCCCGAGGCCCATCGATTACAGTCGGTACCGACGCGTTTCTTCTAGGTTGGGGAGCGATATGCTCCGGCCTGTATACTCAAGGCACGTGGACTCGTCAAGAATCTACAAAGCATATCAACTTCCTGGAATTGTTGGCCGTGTTCAAAGCCCTACGCTCTTTTGAAGATGTTCTTCAACATCGGGGTGTTCAGATAACATTGGACAACATAGCCACCGTTTTTTATCTGAACAAGCAAGGTGGGACGAAGTCTCCAACCCTGGCCAGACTTTCTATGCAGATCTGGGATTGGTGCATTTCGAGAGATATTACGATAATAGCAGTCCATCTGGCCGGTACGGACCACGTGGAAGCAGATCTTCTCAGCAGGCGCATGCTCATCTCTCACGAATGGGAACTGGACCCCCAGACACGCGACAACCTTTTCCATCACTGGGGGTTCCCCGACGTGGACTTGTTTGCCACACAACAGAACAAGGTGTGTGCGACTTTCTGCTCGAGAGCGGGAATTGGACACGAATCCCGAGGGGATGCCTTCATGATTCTATGGAACAATCTGAATTTCTGCGCCTTCCCACTGATTCCACTGGTGATGAGAGTCATAGCGAAGATTGTTTGTGATAGGGCCACAGGGATACTAATTACTCCTTGGTGGCCACGCCAACCTTGGTTTCCCACACTGCTGGACATTTCTCACGGGGAATACCTACATCTTCCACTGCTCCCGTTCTTGATAACCCAGAAAGACAGCACACTTCGTCACCCAGATATATTATCATTAAAACTAACAGCGTGGTGAATCCGATAGCTGACTTCACTAAGTCTCTACCAGTCACTACTCCAAGGGGTTCGAATCCAACCTTCAAATCCACTACTGTCCTCGTTACGTCTACACCGACAACTACTTCAAAAGGTTCGAACTCTACTTTCGAACCTAATACAGTTGCAACTTCCAAATCCGCTAGGGACAGCACTGCACCAGCACTGTCAGATCCGACTACTGTGCCATCGAATCCGACAGCCTTTCATCCGGACATTCAGTACATATTGGACTCCGCTTTAAAGCCTTCTACACGGAGGTCTTACGAAGCTAAATGGAAGTGTTTCTCCGCCTTTGCTGACTCTCGTTCATTCGCTCTATTTACATCGTCAATTCCTCAAATTCTTCAGTTCCTCCTGGAATTACACCACTCTGGACTGAAACCTTCTTCGATTAAAGTATATACGGCGGCCATCGCCTGTCATCGGGGTATGGTGGACGGTTCGTCCATTTTCTCCCAACCTACTATTAAAAGGTTTTTGAAGGGACTTTATAATCTGAATCCGTCGATCAGACCAGTAATGCCCACCTGGAGTCTCTCTGTTGTTCTGCAAGTGCTTACGAGAGCTCCTTTCGAACCGTTGGCCACAGTCGATTTACATCTTGTCTCATGGAAGACAGCATTCCTAGTTGCGGTTACCTCAGCCCGGAGGGCCAGCGAAATCTGCGCTTTGCCCGTAGACCCACCTTATCTCAATTGTCATAGAGAAAAGGTTGTCCTGCGGCTCGATCCATCTTTTCTGCCTAAGGTATCCACACCCTTTCACATGGGGCAAGATATTATTTTACCTGCCTTTTTTCCGGCTCCGTCTACTCCGTTAGAAAGGACATTACATTCACTTGACATTCGACGCTGTTTAGCATTCTACAGATCCAGGACTGAGTCTATCTGACGTTCACATAGACTTTTCATTAAATATGCTACCAGTTGCCAAGGTGCCCCTGTCACTCCGCAGAGACTTTCTAAGTGGATAGTTCATACCATCACCCTGTCTTACCAACTGGCCAATATCGACTTGCCCACTACCCCTCGAGGCCATTTGACTAGGGCTGTGACTACCTCATCGGCATTCGCATCGGGAATACCAATGGACGATGTATGTAGAGCTGCTACTTGGGCGAATCCTTGCACTCTCGCCAAACATTACTGCTTAGACGTCCGCGCTCGACAAGATTGTTCCTTCGGCAGAGCCGTTTTTTCATCTGTTCTTCTTTGAGGACGCTTTCCCTCCTCCGTTATGGTAAGTTTGTTAATCTACCCATATGTGTGATGCACAGAGGCCACGACGAAGAAAAGCAGGTTGCTTACCTGTAACTGATGTTCTTCGAGTGGCCACATGTGCAGTCACACAACCCACCCGCCAGCCCCGCTCAGTGTCAGTGAGTGGACCTCTGTCGTTATTGAATGTTATCATTGTTTCTTGGTACCGATATTCATTGTTCTCTCGGTACCGATACTGTTCATGGTAGAACTCATTTACAAGTCATTTTTTCCACAAGAGGGCGTCTGTTCGGTCGTCAAAGACTGAACAAAATGGCGGACGCTCCGCTCTTTATAGGCTGTGGGGGAGGGGGAGTGAGCTTTTTCCTGCCAAAATAAACCGTTAGCTTGTAATCCTTCGGCCAAAGGCACTGCGCAGGCGCAGCACCCATATGTGTGACTGCACAGATGGCCACTCGAAGAACATCAGTTACAGGTAAGCAACCTGCTTTTTCTGTTGCCAGCAGTTAAATTACCACTGCCTTGATTTGGTATACCTTCAGGCCTCTGGGAAATACTCTTTAGTAGTCTTTGTTAAAAAATAAATCAACGAACAACAAAACTCTCCTTAGTTATAAGTTTGTTATTACTGTTTTGATAAATTAGTACTTTATAACACTAGACTATTACATGACATGGTTTGGCCCAGTCATTCCAAATTATTTTGACCAGCCTAATGTCATTCTAATTGGAAATAGAATTTTTTTTCTGCCTTTAGGAAATAATTAATGGTCACTAAGCATGCTTTGCTTATCCAGACATTCTTACATTCTCTGATCATTTGGCTTAGAATGGAGATAAATATTTCTTAGGTGTAAAAAGGAAAATAGACTTAAAAGAATTTTAGTGACCTCATAATTAACCAGAGATGTTATGTGTTTTGTGATGTCAGCTGAAGCCTAGAAGAAAGGAGATGTGGATATGGCAGTTCTGTAATGGACAGCTTTACAGTACCTGTCCATATTTTCATGTTTACACTGTTTAGAACAACAGCAGTGATATACTTAGTGTTTGAGTTCAAACTTAAGAATTTTTTTCCTGTCTGTTTCTTCCTTTCTTTTAATACTGAAGAAGGAACAAACATTAGGGCCTTTGTACATTGTCATTTGGGTAACTTGACCCTGAATGCCCTTTTAATTTGGATGCTTTATGCTCGTACATGGTTTGTAAAGAGAATAAAATGTTTTAGTAGAGTTGGACAAGGCAAAATATTCAGAAACTTTAAAAATGTTTGGGCACTGTCAAATTACTGAAAATTGGAAAATATCAATATACAGAATACTTGGAATTATTTTAAACTAAGAGCTATGGAGGCTGGTGGAAGCTACAAATTATATTCTGAACTTGGTAGAATGAAGAAAATTGTCCAGCTTGATGAAGAGCTGATTCCTTCATTCTCTAGTCCTCCTCTGGGCAGCTCTAATATTTATAATCCTTTGTTCAGAAAAATCACATCTACTAGATTTCAAGGAAGTTTGTTTCCAAGTCTTTCATTTTCTGTGCCACCTCTGAGAGAAAACACTTTTAAGAATGATTTTCCACCAAGTGTGCCAGACCTGAGTTTCAAAAAATCTCCTCAGGAGTTACAAGGCCTTGTGAATACTGTTCGACAAATGGTAAGCATGTTCTGACATTTGGCAAATACAAAATTAACATGCAAGCTCAGAGAAATTTTCTTTCATTACTAGCTTTTTATGAAAAAAGATGATCTGATAGTCTCTGCTTTCTAGCTTTGAGCTTTCTTTTTATTATACTACAGATGTTACTTATATTTATTTACAGTATTTCGATACTGCTCCATATATAAGCAGATTTTAGAACAGTGAACAGTACAAAGCCAAAAAATAAAAGAATAAAAACAGTGCATTGAAAATAGGATAACATGAAAACCATGGTGGGTCAGCAAAAGACCTCTTGGAACAAGGTTGTCTTTCAATAGGTGCTTATAACAGTGTTGGTGCATGCCTTAACTTCAGAGGCAGGATTTTTGTAAACACTACATTGTGAACAGTCTCTGTAATTATTGCATATACAGCCAAATCTTAATATAATTGTCACTATCTACATTTGTTCAATTTCATTCTCCTCTAGCATTATTTTTTTCTTCTCCCTCCACTCATTTGTCTATGTTTCTATCTGTCAATTCAAAATGATGTTCTATGTATTTGGTCTCCCCAAACTTAAGTCATAATATTTTAAGGTGGATGGGATTTTTAGTTTCATTCATATTTATATTTTAAATGAATTTTGTAGGTTGAAGAAGAACGCAATGAAACACAGCGCCAGCTCTCTCAAGAACAAAATGCCAGAGCTCTACAAGAGGGTATTTTGAGCAGCCACCTCTGGAAGCAGAAGGAGCTAGAGGAAGAATCAAAAAGAACAGCAGCTAAACATTCTGAGGTATTAATTTTATCTCTTCATCAAATTATGTGGTTATACATTAATGCAAGGTAGGTCAAAATATAGGACAGAAGCAGTTTTGCTTCACCAGCACACATGATGAATGCAAAGGAATAGTGGTAGACACTGGATACATTTATTTTGAATGTAGGTAAGTTAAATACTTTATTTAACTAATGCTCTAAACCAACAAGAAAAGGCGCCTTTAAATCATTAGTTTAAATCTAGTCTCCCACTGAATTTTTAAAAATTATTTATAATTATTTTTATTACTTAAGTGCCCTGCCCTGCTCAGTCTGATGTTGTAAAGTAACAATTTCGAGTTAGTGTGGTGTAGCCACTAAAGTGTTGGACTCAGATGATCCAGGTTTAGTCCTTCCTTTGCCTTGAAACTCACTTTGGGCCAGTCCAAAGGGTCCAAAGACTTCCAGCCTAACCTACTTCAAAGGGTTGTTGTAAAGATAAAATGTAGACAAAGAGAACCAATGTAAACCACCTTGAGTACCTTGCAGGCAAAAAAACAGGATATTAATGCAATAAATATGAAGTACTTCAACCACAAAAGACAATAATAATGCTTACTGTTATCTCAGTTCTTATGTAGTAGAAAGTTTTAGGAATGCTTTATATATTTTGGGTGGTTCCTTCCATGAATGGAAGAAAATAGCCACTAGCAGGTTTCTGCAAGATCTTATGCTGGAGTTCAAACAGTTCTGTAATAGGTTATTGTGTAGTTATCATGCTTCTATTTGTGCACATTGAAGGTTATCTTTTGAATTTAATTCTGTTCTATCTTTTTGGTGCTCCAGCTTGAGATTTTAGGTACCTCCTCCATGAGAGAAAGACACTTTCTGTATGTGGAAAAGAATCTTTACATTTTTCATGTGGTGTACACACCATAGAAAGTTGGGCCCAGCTGGAGAGATGCTACCTGAATTGCAGACTTGTACTAAAGCACATGTTTTGGAACACAATTTTTAATATGTACAACATGTTTACATAGTAACAATTCAGCATATCAGAGATTCTTTAGAAAATAAGAAGATAAATTTTTCTCCTTTAGGAGTTCAGTAAGATAAATAAGTTGATTTAAAATATGGAAAAGACACAATGAGTGGGCTATTTTGAGAATAAAACATAACAGTATTCACATTATAACATATATTGTTCCATCCAGAATAAAATTAGTTATGAGAGTATGGTCAGGAAAAGAATATCAGAGAATTCTGAGTAGTTCTGATTAATTTGGTCTTTTGCTTATGAATCATTCAGATAACTGATAGTCATGACCAAGAAAAGGAGCTGTTCCACAAAAATCAAATACTTCAAGATGAACTTTCTGTATTAAGATTAGAGCTTGACCACATAAGGATTCGACATCAGGAAGAAGAAAGCAAATATTTAGAAGAAAATGAAACCTTGAAAGAAAGAACAGAAGAACTTAAAAAAGAACTGAAACTAAATGAAGAGGCTTTAACTCAAACAGTTTTCCAATACAATGGGCAAATTAATGTATCAAAAACAGAAGTTGCAATCCTAACATCCAAATTAGAGCATATTAAAGAAAACAAAGAAAGATTGGAAGTAGAACTTGACTCATTTCGTTCCCGTTTGAATTCTACTGTGCAAGAACTTGAAAGATGCCAGTTGTCAAAAAATGATCTTGAGCGAATGCTTCAACGAGAGCGTGATGAGTGGCTTCGTTCAAAAGAAAAACTGGATCATGATCTGTGTGCTCTACGAGAAACCAACAATAGTATGTCTCAACAGTTAAGTAAAGCTGAGAGTAAGGCTAACAGCCTAGAAAATGAACTCCATCATGTAACACACAGTCTCAGAGAAAAGAGTTTGCTGTTAGAGAGTATTCAGAGAGATTTAAGTCAGGCACAGGGCCAAGTGAAAGAGCTTGAAAATGTACGACAAGTTGAAAAGGATCAAATTAACAAATATGCTGTAAAACAAGAATCTATGCAAGAACGATTGGCACAGCTTCAAAGTGAAAACCTCTTACTTCGACAGCAATTTGAAGATTTTCAAAATAAGGGTATTATCAAAGAAAAAGTAGTGACTGATGTGCAAGACAGATTCAGTGATATATTTAGCAAACTCAGGGCTGATACTGAAAAGCAAGTGCAGATGATAGAAGAAAGAAATAAAGAATTAATCACAAAATGTAATGATTTAAGAGAGCAAATCTTCAAATATGAAACAGAAAAGATGGATAGAGAGGTAAGTTTGCTCTGCTCCACCAGTTGCACTGAAGTACTGGTGATGCATTACTATTTCCAGTAGCAAGATTTTGATTAAATTAGCAGAATGAGTTGCATGCTGAGGTTCTATAAAGATTGGGCTTCAAGTTGATGGTCTGTTCTAAATGTTCTAACCTTAATGCACATCTTATCTTCAGAAGTTAACAAATCTAATGGTATACCATTTACTGCACCATACACTACATAAACATATGCATTCTGAATAAATGGAAAAGAACACTTGCAATCTTTCAAATAATAGCAAGTGCCATGCACTCTCCACAATCTCAGTATACATTGATCAGGAAATAAATAATTCAATTTGTATTTAACCATCATACTTCAAGCTAAGCCACCCCAGCTGCGGTGTTACAGCACACCAAGGTTGTGAAGCTAGCAATAGTGTCAGTCATAGTTTTGATATTTCTCAAAGGTGAGGACTAGAGAATAACCAATGGTCAGAGCACAGACTAGTTAGCAGGGAACTGCTAGACAGAAGTTCATGAACTGGAAGACAGACATTCCAGCAACCATTAGCCCAGAACTAAGGGCATTTGGCTTTGAGTTTTTAGAGCCCACATGGGGTTCAGGGGCCCAATTCAAGGTGTTGATTATGACCTACAAAGCCCTAAACGGCTTGGGTCCTGGCTACCTGAACGAGCGCTTACGTCCGTATATGCCCGACCGCCCTTTGAGATCTGCGGGAGAGTCCCTTCTCCGGGAACCCTCCATGAAAGAAATTAGGAGAGTAAGTACCCGGAGGAGGGCTTTCTCTGCGGTGGCGCCCAACCTATGGAATTCACTCCCCAAAGAGGTCCGCCTGGCACCGTCGCTACTGGTTTTTCGGCGCCAGGTAAAGACCTTTTTATTTAAACATCATTTCAATTGTTAAAACATATGATCTGGCCTGGGCAACTTCTTCTTCCTTCTCTTTCTCATCCTATATTTTTATTTTATACTGATAATTTTAATTTTGTATTTGTAAATCAATGTATCTTTTGTATTTTTATATTTAATGGTAATTTATTATGTACTATTGTATTTCAATGTATTTTATCATGTTGTAAGCCGCCCCGAGGTTTCGGCAAGGGGTGGCATAGAAATGTTATAATAATAATCATCATCATCATCATCATCATCATCATCATCACCTTGGAAAGGTATTACTCTTATTGGAAGCATTACACATAAGTAGTGCTTTACTTACAAGGCATTCCCTAGGACTAGATGGTGGTTCCACTTCCATCTTTGAATCCTGAGGAGATGGATGAATATGCTAACATAACCCCCAAAGTCATAGAGTCCTTCTGATCACCACAGCATTTCCAGAAACATTCTGCTTCTCTAAGATGTTCAGCTCAGGAATTTTCCCATCATTTTCTGATGAGAATCCTTCCAGGGAGGCATAACACTAACAGCTTGTGTGATTTAAGACTCATGTATATATTCTAAAAATACTTTAAGTAATTTAAATCCAGAAATTCAAGTTTCATTTGTACAGACTATACTTTTATAAAAATTCTTCTGTTAGGGTACAATAAGGCAACTGCAGCAGGAACTTGCAGATTCTCTTAAGAAGCAGTCCATGTCAGAAGCTTCATTAGAGGTTTCAACGCGTTATCGTATTGATCTAGAAGAGGATAAACAGCAACTTCAAAATGAAATAGACAAGATAAAGGCCAAGGTACAGTTAAATGTTGATTAATATATCTTCAGTCTACTTGATAGCGTCTTAGAAATATTTCTCATTGGGAGCAAAGGAATGGCCAACATCCAAAACTTCCCTTTCCTTCTCCCAGAACTACACTATGCCTACCCAACCCCAGAAAAAGCTGCGTTAGCAAAAAGTGGCCCTTGTTTCACACCCTTGTTTCACATAAATGGAATTGGATTTAAGTAGTGTTTGTACCGGCATCTAACCAACACAGGCTGAAATACAGATCTAAAAGGGTAGCCCCATAAAAGTAAGCAACTAAGTTTCATGCTTTCTAGCATTTACATACAGGTATTAGAAGTTAATTTATGTAGCTGCCACTGTGCTGAACTAATACGTTAACTTATTTCGCTTATCTCATAATCATTTCAGTCTAGTTCTTCAGTCAACCCGAAAGAAATCACATTGTCATTACTAAGCCCTGTTAGCCTGTAATGTTTTATTTGTGCTGTTTTTTACAGCTAAATGAGTCAGAAGAACAATATCTTCAGTCTGAAAGACTTGTTCATGACTTAAGAAATTCTTTGGATGCTAAAGAACATGAATCAAGTCTGGCAGCTCAGAAATTACAAGACCTTCTAGTAGCATCATCGGGAGCAAATAATACTATAAAACAACTAGAGGAGCATATACAGAGGTAAAAAAATGTCAGTATGTTGAACTCAGAACAGTGATTACTTAAAGTGTTATGGTATGAAAGGATTTATCTAGCAATGGGCTAAGTCTGTTCACCACCCATGAAGGCAGGAGTCAAGTGACAAATATCACTTCATGGGAGCCCTTTAAAACAACAGAAGAAAGGGACAAAGACAGCCTCCATAGCCTATTGAGCTTGCGACTAAATCCAACCTGGTTGATGAAATAGGACGAACTCCTTTATGCATGCTTGCTTGTGGTCTTGGAGTTCATGTCTACAATATCTGGTGAAATCTTTCCAAGTTACTGTATTTCATATATTTTTGGCATAGATAGTTTACTAAAGGAAAGCAGGGTACTGACCACCTGTTGCTTCAATAAGTGTTCCCTTCTGAAGCCAGACAGAAGACAGGCCACTAACAGAGGAAGTGAGGGACTCGGTGCTCCCTGGGAAGATTTTGGTGTTTGCCCCACCATTGCAAAAAATGATTTGAAGGGATACTGAAATATGGGCAGTTCCTTATTAGTTGTGTCCTAATAAGGAAGTAGCAACAGCTGGAGTGAGTATCATTAATCCTGAGGTATAGCACATCAGGTCTTCTGACCTCTGAGACCTGAGCACAATTATTTCTTGCTGGAATTCGAAGACCCATTCCAGGGCTAGGGTGATGGACCCCTTGTTTGTATCTGTCAGAGTATCTGGATAGACTCTGTTCTTTTGCCTGAGTGAAAATTACACACCCTGCAGTTGGCCAGAAAGCTGTCATTTCTCAAGGTCCATCTTGCTAAGATCCAGGCTTGCCTGTCATAGGGAGGAGGACCAGAGTAGAAGGTTGTCCAAATATGGATTGATAAGAATGCCTTGAAGGCTGAGGTGTGCTGTCGTGGAAATAATTAACCGGGGATATACCCTGGAAGCTGAAGGCATTTCAGATGGCAGGTCCCTGTACTGATAACTGTCACTCTTGCAGGCAAAATGCAGGCATCTCTTTTGAATACAGTGCAACTATATGAGGTCTGTGAAAGTGAAGTAGTTGCCTGTGTGAAATGCCTGCCTAATTTTGTGGAAGGGTTCCGTCTGGAACTTAGGGTACATACCACAAATGTACTGTTCTACTTCAAGGTCAGGATGGCTCTCCAGTCTCCTTTCAATACTATGAAACACGTGGAATAAACCCCTGGGAATATATCTATGGCCATGATGCTTTTGTTGTTTCCAGCCTGGTTTAAGATCTGAAGGCTGGAGATGGCAAAACTTCCCCTTAGATTAGTCGAGAAAATCTTATGTAATAACCATGCCAGATTATATTGGGTACCCAGAGATCCATGGCTAAGGACTTCCACTTTCAAAGAAACTACTGAAGTTTTCCTGCCTCAAGGAGACTGGAGGCTTGAGAATGTCTGGAGGTCTGGGCAGCCTGTTGTTTGGAGGAAACAGCAGACAGACTCCTGCTATGAATCCTGGATTTATTCCAGGCTGGCTTTGCATTCCCATAGTCTATGGAAGAGAAGGAACTCAAAGAAGTTTAGAAGGAAATGCAGTTAATCCAAAATGAAAGGAAATTGTGTCTTGGTGTATTCTTGTCATCTTTCATAATTGATGAAGACATGGCCTTTTTCTTATCCAGAGAGGTGAACCATTACAGGAGCATATGGAAGAGGCTCATTTAATTGCTGTATGGTCTGAGAAGGCAGAGTTTAAATTTTTTGAGTGGACTACTTCCTTTTGAGGAGGAGTTGCTCACTGTTGTTCAGGCATTTTGTCAAATGTAGAAGGAACAGACAATTCTCTGTCAAGGGGAGTCATTTCTGGAAACACTGAAACTTTCCTTGATTATGGTTTGGGAGGATGGAACCTCCCTTAGAAGCCTGCTGAGTGGAAGCCTCATGACTCCATTTGATACCTAGGGATGGCATAATTTGGAAAGCAATGGAAGAAAGGAAGGATTTCATTTTAACCTGCTTGTGAGTGTGAATGGGCTTAGATTACTATTTTGTAGCAGTTGAATGGTAAACCCACTGATGTCTGCCTGTTCCACATTCTGAATAAACTGATGGTGAGGGAAGCATTGGAGAAAGATGGAAACATAGGGGGTTCTGCATAGCTGATACTGTTGCCCTTGTCAGAATTGAGTCAGTTGGAGAGGAAAATAATTGGCATATGAATAGGAAAGAGTTGCTATTTCAGAATAGGGAAGAGTTGCCATTTCAAGTATCCTTCCCTGCCCCATCCCCCGCTCCATATCCCATCCCCTTTCTCCAAACTTCTGGACCTTTGTTGGTCTCTTTGGATAGCAGCTGTTGCTAGCAGTAGCAGGCTCAGGAGAAATTGGACAGCCACGGAGGATTTCAGGTTTTGGAGCCAAGTATTAAGGTGTAAAAGATGAGTAGAATTGAACTGAAAATACAGACTTATTATCAAGTAGAATGAAAAAATGTAAGAGGTAAGGAATCAGAGGGTTCAGAAAGGTTCTGTCCTGGGCAAAAGGTAGAAATACAGTGAAGGAGAAGCCCACGTTCTCCTAAGACAAATATTTGTCATGTAATTTCTGCCTTTCTTGAGCAATTAGGAGACTTAAGTCATTGTTGGATGCTTCCTCATACTTAACAGGAAATATACTTTTAAGCATGCAGTAAAGATGAAGAGTTAATATAAAACAATGATATGCCATTTATAGTACTAAATATGTTGTAGAAATATTCTGAAATATATAAAAATAAAGAAAATATACTTATTTATATTGTGTTTATTTGAGATACATTTTTCTTTTAAGACTTGAAATAGAAAATGCCAGATTGGAAGCAACAACCAACCAACAAACTGGTAAAATTGAGATTCTTCAGAAAGACCTGAAGGATAGTGTCACTGTAAGTCAGCCTTTACATTGTTGGGATATAAAAGAAGATAGATAGGAAGATTTCATCTGTTCTATTCTTCCACTATTACTTAATATTAAAATTTATAATTTGGTTTGCTCTAAGGAACAGAATAATAATGCAAGAATGCTTGGAGAACTATTGCCATAGATTTTGATTTTAAGAGTTTCTTTGACCCTTGAATAATGGAATAGTTTCCTAAAGGAATTATAAATTGTTATAAGTTACCAGAATTATTAATTTCCAAAAGGACCACTTTATAGAATTTCCTTCAGTCTAAAGACTTCTGTAGCTTGTATCACTGACTACTTTTTTTTTTTTTTTTGGATATAGGTTCACAGTCGTCTTGAGGAATTGATCACGGGCTTACAAACAACAAAAATTAATTTAGAAGAGCAGCTAAATCACCAGGTATACTAAACACTGTGTGTGACTGTACATGTTTGTACAAAGAGTATGCAATGATGAAAATAGAGACACTGCACTTTGGCTATTGTTTCCTTCATTTCCCAGATTCAGGAGTGAATTTTGAACTTTATGCAGACAAAATGGCCACCTACCCATAGTATCTGCAACAGCTACCTGGGAACCCTTAGATTACAGAAGTACATGAAATTGCAACTAAATAAAATGTACAAGAAAGAAGCAGTGGGTGTGAATGAAATTCCCCAGAAGAAAGACAATAGAGGAGGAACAGGATGAGAATCTAGGAACATCTGCCCCTTCTCAGGCAAGGAGGCTTTCCTGCTCCAGGCAGGCTTCTCACCTGAGAAGGATAAACTTGAGTGTGGTCAGGCCAGATAACAGGTGACCCAAACAGCTGACCTCAAGCAGAAATGCCATCTAGAACAGGAAAGTAATATGTGAAGTGACTCACAAGAAGGCACCATTGTTTTATAAAGGAAGCAAGTAAGGGAGCTTGCAGGGGCCTTGCCAATCACCAGACCATGGTATAGACTTAACTTAAATGTCACTGGCTTAATTTTCTATATAAATGCCAGCCTGGTTATTTCAAGTATTCTTTGTGTAATCATTTTTCATCAGAAGTATCTTGATTATTCTTTAGGTCCAGAAGCAAACCATGCTCTCAGTAACTGCACAAGATACTCACAATATGTGGGAAGAAGAACTGAAGTCAAGATCAAAACTTGGAATTCGCCTTTCTGAGCTTGAAAGAGAAAAGACAGAGCTCATGTCTCAGGTGGGTCAAAAGCAAATATAGATGATTAATCAGAGTTTCTTGCTAAGCTTTGGTGAGGTTTCTTCCCATTCCGAATCAACATTTTACATATCCCATCATGCTGCCAGACCTACATGGTTTATTATTTCCCATAAAATAAACCATATACCTTGAAATGATTAATCCACCCTAGAAAAAACAGACCTCATGCTTCATCAGCCTTGCAGATGTTCACAAAACTTATTAGCACCAAACAAAAAAGTCTCCTTAAATGGAATGAGAAAATATATCTAAGCTGGTTTATCATTTAGCATTTTGTTATTTCCTTTCTTTGGAACATTAGACCTGAACTTCATATACCAAAGCAATATTTTCCAGTTAGGTTCTTTAACAGTAGAGCTTTCTTAGAAAAATGTAGCTAGTCAATACCTGGATTCACACAACATAGCAAAGCACTATAGATTGTTACATTGTATGAACTTGGACTGCTTCCTGAAGGGTGGCTTGTTTTGAGACAACAAGCCATGTTGACAACCCATGAATTAATATAGATATTGTTGAGTCTGAAATCCTGAAAAAAAGTAAATTTTGATAAATCTCAGTTGCCACAATTGGGCTTGCCAACAAATGATCTGTAGCATAGCCACAGGTTAGGTTGTCATGTCATGTGAACTCACCCAATATCCATTTGATCAGAGTGCTCACTTAATAATCACATCAATTTTACTATGATGCTAAGCCTGTAATATCTAAAAGCCCAGGAATAAATTTGTATTTTCACAAGGAGTAGATTATCCTTAGATTTTGTTTCCCCTTTTCTCACACTCAAGTGCAAGTTGTAAAATGCCCTTTCCACCTTCGGCCACTTTGAGCTCTCAACTTGATTCTTTTTCAATTATTAATGACAAATGTATATTTTATATAAAAAGTATGTGCTTATTCTATTACTAGCTTGAAATTGAAAAGAAAAAAGTGAAGAAGTTAGTTGAGTCAAAGCGATCGATGGAAATACGACTAGAACAAGAAATGATTAGAAGCAGTGAATTACAAAAAGAATGTAACGGGTAAGGAAACTGTCATTCTTCTGAAAATAACAAAAAGGTGCTGTGGTTTAAAATGCCTGTTTTAAAAATATTTAGCACTACCATGGTAGAACTTTTCTTACATAAAAAGCCATTTTGTGGCATTTTGTTTCTCCTGGCTTTTAGTGCATCCCAACCTGCTCATCTGGAGTGGGTGTGTGCTACCCAAAAGCTCTGTGTAGTCAGAGGGTGAAATAGGCATTGAATCTTTGAATAAGCATTGACTCCAAGTTTCTTGTCAGTGACAGTAATAGTGCTGCAAGATGAGCAAAAGTGAAAAAGGCAAGATCACAGATGATGAGAATTTAGAAGAACAGAGACAATTACTCTGTCATTTGTGACACTGCTTCTGTCACTGATAAAGGGTAGGTCAGGTTGCAGCTTCACCAACATCACCCAGCAAACTAGTGTGTGCTTCACTAGTTAATGAGTGCATTTACTTGTATTGTGAAAAAACAAGGTTCCTTCGTAATTGCGACGGAATTCAGTATTCATAATTCACTAAACAAGCTGTTACAGGAACAACCCACTCTAGTTTGCAATCTGTTGTAAGGTCAGCCAGTATCTTTCTGGGTAGCCTAAAAAAGATTCTTCATATAATATGTAAAGCAATTGAAATAAAGCCTTAATCCATTTTTTCCTCTTAAGAGTTTAATATGATTTCTGTAATATGTGCTCTACAGAATTAAAAAACTTCTAAAAACAACTAAAAAGAAAGTAAAAGAATATGAAAGTGGAGAGAGTTCATCTCAAACAAGCTTTCATGGAGAAATAAAGAACAAATACTCAGAAATTGAAATAGAAGTTGGAAAGCTAAGAACAAAGGTATGCTTGTACAAAAAGAGATAAGAACAAAGTAATGAGTGTGGGTAAGTACGGAGGGACAGATTCCTAAGAAAGCATTGTGGATTTCTAAAAATAAATTTCATTTGGCATTCATCTGAACACACATTTTGACTACATTTAAACTGCTCTTCAAACTGTGGTTTAGACATTCATTCATTCAACCACCTAGCCTGCCTGCAGACTGTGGCTGTGTGATTTTTTTTCCTTGCTTGATGAAGCAATAGTTTTCCTGTAAATGCAAGTTATTTGCATAAAACCTAATCTACTTCCATTACTGAGAGGTGTGTGCTATCAACTGTACAAACCAAAAGAAAGTGATCCAAAGGGCTTTTGTAAATCTACTTCCTCAGGAGCATTGAGCACACACCAGGTGTGTTTGTATATTGGCACAAATAATAGTATCTCATGGAAGAAAAAACAAGTGTTGTGATTTTCCTTATGACTATTACCAAGATTTTGCATTCAGTATATGAGCAGGTTCTCCCTCTCTCTCTCTTATCCTTTCATGGAAAATTCATGGCATGATATTTGTGAAAACTCTAATGTCTTTTTCACAGAGAGTTAAATTTGTGCTAATGTCAGAAATTGGTGGCTAGCAGTTGGTTACCAGCAAAGCTATACAACATAAAAGCAGAGAATGGCACTTCTCCATTACTGATATTCACAGAAACCTGGATTGTGTGAGAGAGCGGTTTCAAAAATATAATTGTTGATTGTATTTTCTTTTTTAAATTCAAAACCAACTTATTGATTCAATCTGTTACATGCCACAGAAAAGATTACACATTCACTCTTGATTGGATTTAAGGTACCATCACGATATAGGTAGAAATGGTGATATTGTACATAAGAATTACATCTAAAATACAGAAAATACTCATTCTTTTTCTATTAACATTTTAATATATATTAAAGTAAATGCAAAGCAATTCATAACAGATAGGATTGATAGATGTCTGAATCCAGCAGAGATTTCTTCAAAATGAACAGTGCCAGGTATTTGCCACCAGTTCCCCGATGCTCCCCTTCCAATCTACTCTGGATTGAAGGATTGGGGAACGACTGAAAGATAGCAAGTGAAAGATGAAATAGAATTAAATCACCTCCCTTCCCCTTCCTTGTAGTTTCCAGAAGTATCTGCTTGATTGAAGCCCTTTCTGTGAAAGTCACTTTTTGGATTCGATCCACTGTAAAATAAGGTTAAGGCTGCTTCATTAAAGAAATCAGGGTTGATTAATGGTTTGAGTTTAATTTTAATATTTTAAATGTGTGTATACTTGCATACAATTTACACACTAGTGGTAAAACACTAGTGGTAAAAAAGGCATACTTGTTCTTTCAGCAGGTACCATATTAGAAGAGACATTTCCCCTTCCATCTCATACCGCTCTTCTGTGGTGGTAATTGTTTTCTGCAGCCTTGATAAGTATATATTTTAAATGTTTAAGGGTCCACTCCATTGCCCTCTGTTTCAGATGCACACAATAAAGCATTATAACAATGATCACTTTCTAAACAGCCTTTTTCACCCAACTAGATGAAAAGCTTTGGAGGGGAACTAAAGGAGGCAGAGGCGCCAATTGGAAACTGTTAATCCATTACCCTCTCTCCAGTCCATTTGCAACCATGGCATGGAGCAGATGCTCAGCCTTCAGAATCCCAAATAGTGTTTGAAGGCCATAGGATTGTACCCTAAATGAGTCTGTCTAACTGATAAAATGATGCACTCCTCCTTAACACATTTTCTATTGCTTCAGTCCTTAGCACTTCTACAATTGTTACATGCAGCTAAATTATACATGTGAAATAGCTAACTATATTAGTGTAGACATGTGACATTTCTCTGGGTTTACTTTATTCTGAATAGATGCCATTTCCCTGTTTTGAATTCAGTACTTCTCATTTGTTCAGGTTAATGAACTTTCTCACCATTTGGAAGTTGAGTCTTCAAGATGTACGCAGTTGGAATCTATAAATCGTGATTTACATGAACAGTTATCTTCTATGAAGATACTTCACAGAAATCATGAAAAACTGGAGAGAAGCAAGGTGCAGCTGGAAGAAGAGGTTGCAAATCTCAAACGCCATGTACAGAGTAATGTAATGGACCTCAACCAAGTGGAACAGTACAAGAGAGACATTGAAGAACGAGCTAGACAAGAAATAAGACAAAAACTGGAAGAAGTCAATTTGTTTTTACAGGTAAACTTAATTGTATACATTAATATGTATGCAGTTTACACTACATAGTCAAGATAAATTGCTACATTTACTCAACAGAACATTAAGCCAAGGTGATATGATCAATATTTAATACTTGAATTAATCCTTGTGGTCCTACTTTAAAATTAATATTTGAGAGGAGATGGAGACTGTTCTTCCTTTTCTAATGTAGCACATAACTTTTGTGTTCTAGACGCAGGCAGCTTCACAAGAAACCTTGGAACAGATAAGAGCTACTAGTACTGCTTCCCTGAGAAATCAGTTGGAGAACAGAATTAGAGATCTGGAATCTGAGCTGGCCAAACTGAAAAGTAGTCAGCAAGACAATATCTTACAAAAAGAGTCCACATATACAGAACTGGAAAGATACAAGGGTCTGTATTCAGAAGAACTAAAAATGAGGAAGTCTTTGGGAAGCAAATTGGATCGGTAAGTCAGAGGGGTCTTCTGACATTAAAGTTTTCTTGCGGCCTTTTCTTGCAGCATCACTTTTAGATCAGTTGAAATCCAAGAGGAAAAGAAAAAAAAGGTTAACATTATAAAAGCCTGAAAGTTTTATTGTGGAAATTTATTAACCAGAAAGCTTTCAATGCATTTCAAAAGTATAACTGCATCTGTTGTAACAGTTATTTTCTCGCAGATGTCGATAAAAGTGTTGTGAAATAAAAGCCTGATTTTCAGTATTCTGTTCATTGTAAGAACATGCCCCTTCAAAATATGGAGAACAGTTTAGCTGACAGCACAGAAATGCCTTCTAATATTATACTCATGTTTCTAAAGATACAAACAGGTATTCCAGGTGTCTGTATGCTCCCATCATCATTTGTTCTAATACTGAAGTTGGTGGTCCCATGCTATCAATTTGTTGTTGTTGCTGTTGTTTAGTTGCAAAGGCATGCCCAACTGTTCATGACCCCATGGGCCACAGCACGCCAAGTCCTCCTGTCCTCCATTGTTTCCCAGAGTTCACCCAAATTCATGTTCATTGCATCAGTGACACTATCTGACCATCTCATCCTCTGCTGTCCCCTTCTCCTTTCCCCTTCTGCTATCAGAATAGGGCCACACAAAGACCTAATACACAAGAAATATTAAAAAAAATTGCACTACTGAGATTGAGAGAACTAAAGAGTGAAAATTGTTGGAAGTTCTATCAATAATTTAAGATAAGCAAATAATGCCATCTTACAGAATGCAGCAGTGAATTGACATGACTCCTTATAAAAGTGAAAGTGTAAAAGCAGGAGTCCTGCTGAACATTAAGAAAATAGGAATCATGACTACAGGAGAATTGCACAAGAATAATGTTGACAATGAAGAAATTGTGAAAGATTTTAGATACCTTTGCTCTGTTGTCAGTTCACACAGAGACTCAGACAAAAAATAGGAGACAGCTGAGACTGAAGGGCAGCAATGAAGAAACTAGAAAAGATCATCAAGTGTAAGTTGTTTCAGTGGAGGTCAAGGCTAAGATCATCCACACTGTTGTATTTTAAATCACTATGTATGCGTGTAAAAGCTGAACAGTGAAGAAAGCTGAAAGGAAGAAAATGGATGCATTCGAAACAATGGCACTGGAAGACAGCTTTATGAATACCTTTGAGTAAGACAAATACAAACAGAAATAAAAAGAACAAATCAAACCAGAATTTTCATTGAAAGTAAAAAATGACAAAACTGAAGCTGTTGTACTTTGGGTACATCATGAGAAGGCAAGAATCGCTGAAGAGGACAATCATGTTAGGGGAAATTTGAAGGTGGAAGAAGAGGAGGATCAAATAATAGATGGATTGACTCCATAAAGGAAGCTACAGCCTTGAGTTTACAAGAGCTGAGCAGGACTGGCATGGACAGAACATCTTGGAATGCATTCATTTGGCATAAATTAGAAACTACTTGACAGAACTTAGGAACAAAGATCTAGCAATGATAGTATATTTGGTGAGGTTTCTTCAGACATGCAGAAAACTTTTCATTTATATTTAAGGAAAAGAAAGGAAGCAACTGATGAGAACCAAGACACCAGGAAGCTTACCATGTCAGTTAAAAGGGGTGGGGGGAACTGGGAGGGAATTAACATACCTGGGCCTCTTACATCTTATTTTTAGATGATTCTAATATAGAGGGTTTTGGGTTAAAGGATACGTGCTACTAAGCCCATCCTTCATGCCTCCAATGAGGTTATTATATCTTTTTCATAACTCTGACTTTGATTTTTAAGTGGGAGGGAGATCATTTGGTTTGGAGAGAAATTTCCTGTTTAAACACCTAAGGTATGAAAGGGGCAGAAACTCCCACTGCTCCTGTACGCTACAGAGAAGTAAATATAACTACCTACCCTGCACACTACTGCTCAGGTTGAAGATAGATGAGCATGAAACTGCTTATCCAGCCCTACAACTCAGCAGTTTCCCACTACTGTGCACTAGTAGAAGCATTTCATAATTTATCTCCCTATCGGCCCCTAACTACTTTTTTCTAATACCAAACTTGGTAGACCTTTGCTATCGCTGGGAGGCAAAGCAGGGCCACCTAAGTACAAGTTAGTGATTTCAGCATGCTTTGGTTCTCTCCCAGGTATACATATTTGCTTGTAAATTAAAAGGAAATGTGAAAATGAAAATTGGCCTGAGAATTCTGAAGTTCAGTGACCTTCAAAAACCATGTGTTACTCAGGGAAATGGAACATTAGCAAGGAGAGAAGGAAAATGAGAAACAAGGAATGCAGCCTCAACAACTTCTAGGGAGCTAGATGGATGTCTTCAGGTTTAAAAATTGCTCTCCCTGTGCTATATGGGAGTTTTCAGATGAGGAAAAAGGAGCTTTTTCTTTTCCCACTCTCCAAAAACCAGATTGACAGCCAGCCCTGAATCTGAGCCCTTATTCTTTTTTAAAACAATGAAGGAAATGTTCATGAGTTTGGAGAAAAGAATAACCCCCTTCTTCCTGACAGCAATCTTGCTCCATGAAGCTGAAATATAACTATAAGGTCCCTTTTCCAGACTGGCTAAAGCCCAAACAGGGAAAAAAAACTTATTAGTGCCTAGAGCTACAATACAGTGTTTTGTCTGGGTTCTTAATTGTTATAAACTTGAATGTATCAATTTTTTATGATGGTGTCTATCTGTTCACTTGCTACTAAACTTTTTACAGAGCTAATGAGAAACTAGCAGAAGCCAATGCCAAGCTCTTTCATGAACGCCACAAGAGCAAGTCTTTACTTGCCAACAGCTTTATAAATGGAAGCCTTTCATCAGGTCCTGTCTTGGAAACAGTTCAGCTTGGAAATATTGGCAACAATTTAGCATTAAATAGACCCCTTAGCCTTGGAGGAGGATTCATGAGCCCACCTGGAAACCCATTAGCCTCAAAAAACAGGGTAGAAGCTTACCTGGCAAAGGTTAGTAATCGTGAATATCACTCTGATCTGTCTTATTTATAATGTTATACGCTTAGGTCTGTTTGCTACAGTTTAACAAACAAGTTTGAAGTAATTTAACACTTTAACTTCTGTGCTTTCCTATTAAAAGGAAAGTGAAATAAGTAGTGGACAATGAGTTCAGCCCTTCCAAGAGAAGTGGTAACATTCTAACTTGCACTGCTGCTGTTCAACAGGCAGCCCATTACCACCAAATTTTTTTTGCTTATATTAACATGATGTAATGTCTGTGCTCCTAACGTTTTGTGGCTCACACTGAAATGGTCAGAGATAATAATAATAATAATAATAATAATAATAATAATAATAATAATAATAATGGTGGTAACCAGAATAGTCATACTCAAAAAACTATGTCTCATTCAAGCTCCTTTTTCTTCCACACCTTTATCCAGCTCCACCTGTCACCTGTACTGACCCTCCACCCTCTGTGTGTCTCCCTGACAAAAGGGGCTGGCCAAAAAGGCCCTGCCACCTCAGTCCACTAATAATCATTAAAAATGAAAAAATAACAAAACGGAGTTTAAAGGGTGCCTTGGTATCAGCCTTTGCAGTGCTGCTTCCACCTCCTCTTTGGACTCACCAATACCAATGTCAGCATCAGCACCAGTGACAGAGCAGTTTTGACAAACTTTGATATCAGAGAGAAATTAGAATCTCTTGGATTTAAGATATGGGGCCCTGAATTCCACCACTGATACTGGCAGGTTGGTACGTTAGTTAGCCTCCAAACCCTATAACCCCCCTACACACACACACACACACACACACACACACACCTGAGACTTGGGGCAGAGGATTACAGGAATTGGCATCACTGCTCCCAGTCCCCCATCATAACTTGAAATGATAGGTTGGAATGGGCCATACCACCATGTCATTTTCACTATAGGAATAATTACCGTCCATATCCTTCAGCTTGTGACCATTTCCGATACCCTAGAGCTCATGCTAAATCACCCTTTGTCCTCAGCCACTCATTACTGGCTGCCTTCAGACAAAGTCTTTCATGCTCTACCACTACCTTCTCTAGGACTGCCTCCTTGCAGTCCAGGGCAATTTTCAGTACTCTCTTACCAGCTATGGCTCCACTCCTTCAAAACATCAAGCCTACAACCACTACTTATTTGATCACTGTCCTCTTCACTATCTAAACCAGAAGATACATCAGATTCAGAGTCTTGCTTTTTGACTGGACAATCTATATTGTCCTTGGATGCAGTCATGGGAGCACAAAACCCAGCCTCACCAGTGAAGGATTTGGCCCATATCTCTGACCAAATGTTCCACATGGCTCAGTGACTCAGTCACTCAGCCTACAGACTACAGCCATCAACCAGAGCAGTGGATTAACAGCCCTTCCTTCAACACAGAGAGCCAGTGCGGTACAGTGGTTAAGAGCACAGGTCTGGGACTTCAGCCCACACCCAATCCATTGTTGCAGCACATTCTGTTTAGGGAATAGTAACTTCTATCACATTCAGCAGAGAGATTTCATTGGTTGGTATTTGCTGTGCTGAAATGTAATCAAAACTACTGGCATTCTCACTGCAGCATTTGGACTAAGGCAAACTGCTCCTGCTTCCTTCCCATTAATTATTTAGCTTGCTGTTCACCCATACGTGTGATGCACAGAGACCACAAAGAAGAAAGGCAGGTTGATTGCCTGTAACTATCATTCTTTGAGTGGTCATCTGTGCATTCATAGAATCCACCTTCCATCCCCACTTCGGTGTTGATGGTTCTGTCTATGCATCAATATCAATACAAGTTTTTTCTTTGCATGATATGTTCGCACATAACAATGGCATGTTATTACCTCAGTAGTGAAATTTGCTCTATTCTAGTCAGTTTTTTAGTTAGGTATAGGCGAAATGTATATAGAAGTGCATTTACAGCCAGTATTAATAATGAATAGCAAAACAGAGCAACAGTGTACAAATTGCTGATTTTTAGGTATGATAAGAGAGAAGTCTCCAAGTAGATATTACTCTGTAGGCACAGTAAAAATGACAGAACCCAGTAGAGCTAGACTGAGATTTTTAAATTAATGTTGTTGTTCAAAGACTCTGAACAGTTGTGCCTAAAGAGAGCAGCTTCTTTAAAAATTCTACAGTCTAGAAAGTGAGTCCAGCACTTGATCCAAGTGGGTCCAATCAGTGAAGCCAAAGGAAGACTGTCAAATGAGAAATTGAGTTCTTGCATATTTGCTTACTAAACTGAAAAATGGAACAGAAATCCATTCTGTGCATATTCAAATGCATAACACCTACAATCACTGTAGCATTTCAAAGAACTATATAGTCTTAGTCCATGAAGACAAAATGCGATCAGCACATGGGTAAGAAAACAAAAAGCAATTAAATAGCCTAATGCTTACCTTAATGTGTTGAAGTTTATATACTGAGAGCATGGGCTACGGTTGTGCAAGCAAATGTTTATTCTTCTGCTCATTGTCAAACGAAGCTCATACTTTACTAACCTGCACTTCTATGGCTTGCCTGTGGCATTACTGCTTAGTTCAGACTGTTACTTATTGTTCCAGGATGAGCCTGGAATGGCTTTAAAAGTGTAAAGTATTTATCCTAACATAGGTAATAATTTGTGTCAGTGTCCTGTAAGTCTCCAAACTGGGCAGGAAGACACGTGCTGACTCTCAAGGTACATAGACTGTGAAGTTCCATCCTTCCCCACCCTCAAAGGTGAGGGATGGAGCCAGCTTCTCCATTCAAAAGTTCTAGAACTTTCTATGAAGTTACTCTGTGAAAATGCAAAGCCCATCTGTTGTGACTTCATAGAAGATCAGGAATATTTGTTATGGGTAAGTAATCTGACTTGAAGGGGGTATGCTTCAAAAGAGTTAAATATGACAATAAGGAGAAGTAAGAGGATGTAAAGGAAGGACATAATTTCAAAAAGATGATAGGAGCAATACTTTTCTTGGGGGTAGAGGAAATAGATAAGCCTCTTACTTTGTCTTAAAGAAACCAATAAAGAGAGACAGAGAAGGGAAAGAAAAGCTAGAGAGCAGCAAGGAAGAAACTGAAAATGGAAGCAGAATGAGAATAAAGGCAGTAAGCAGGGAGAGAGAAAGCAACTAGGTTAGTAATTCTTTAATTGCTTTATGAAGTGTTCCTCTGGCATACACAGGGGCGGTGCTAGGTCCTGAAAAAATCCTAGTCTCAAGCCCATAAAACAGAAAAAATGCTAAATTTGTATGTGCTAATTTACATGTACTCTAAAAAGACCCAGTCTCTTAAGTATACTCCCATTTGGAAAAAAGGTGGGGGGAGGTATGGACAGGCGAGAGGAGAGCACTTGATTTTAAAAAAAAGAAAAGATTTCAGGGAAAAGAGTAGACATTGGAGAAGGGGAAGCATATGAGAGCAAAAAGCAGATAATCCAAGGGATCAGATGCAACAGAAATTCCTATAGCCCCTTTCCTTTTATTTCCACCTGTGCTCTTGAACAGCAAGTGTTCTGGTCTTCCCAAAGATGTGGGAGTCCAAATGAAAGATCTGGGGCTCCAGCCTCTAGTGGGCCACCCACTAACGCCGCCTCTGGGCATATATGTTAGAAACATAGGAAAAGTGTGTGTCAATTTAAAGATGTAAAAAATGTGTGTACATTTCAAATACTTTGTTCAAGATTCATTTCATTCCCTGACCTGATAAATTACATTGAATAGGAATGCAAACATTCTTTGATAGCCTGTTTTAAATGTTACTGTTACATGCCAAGCTTCTGTATTCAGGCTGAAGTTAACACAGTAACTGATAAAATGATAAATATGCCTGTTAAGATCTTTTATGTTAAATACCTGAAAATGTTACTATACTTATTCCTTCAAAGGGAAGCCACATTTGGATGAATATATTTTGTCTTACTGAGCTGAAATATGCATGAGCCTTTTGCTCATGTTTGCTTTGTAGCACAGCATAATTCATTCAGGAGGCCTCTAAGAAACTATAGTATAGTATTCCATCCAAACCAGGAAATTATAATCATCAGGTTTGGAACAAACCAAAATATTAACCCAATTTCAGCTTAGGTAACCATAAAAACTCAGCTTGTTCTGATCCTCGTGACATTGTTTCCTGGTTCAGATAAAATGATGAACCATGGTTAGAGACTTCCTAGCTCAATCACAGACCCTGCAAAGGATATGAATGCAGAAAGAAAAAGCCCATGTAATAGTTTGCCTTTCTTTCTTTGTTTGTTTGTTTGTTTGTTTGTTGTTGTTTAAAGTATTTATATCCCACTCTACAACCAGAAGGTTTCCCAGAGCAATGAAAACAAGATAGCCCCTGAGAAGATTCAATATAAAAAAAGTGGGAATGAGGAGGAAAAAGGGAAACAAGAATACTCAGGCTTCTTAATATTATATGGAACTTATAAAAAGCAGGTGTAATGCGGATGGTAATGGGTGTAATGCAGCTGGATTTTGTTAGCTATCTATCACAACCAGCAGAAATAGAAATAGTTCAGAGAGGAAGAGCCAAAAATTGCTTGTCCTCCAACTGCACTGATGGTGGTATTTTCTTCACTTGCTGCAGCCTGATAAAATGGCTGCTGGATGACAGTATGGGGAGAAGAAAATCTTGGGCTGATGATGGCTATTTTTCTGCCTCTGCTATCACATGATGAAACAACACGACTACATTGTCTTTTTAAAATATTTGGACTGGAGTCTATGGAAGCTCTTGCCACAGTATTCAACAAAGTGTTTAAGAAAGTTCTCAGACAGTCCTACAAAATCTTGCCACCAAAATCGACTCTCTGATTCCTGTGGCACAGGCATGGGATTGACACAACTAGAGATGACTATAAATTGGCCAAATATAAAAGTTTGGTCTATCAGGGAATTGTTTTCATAAGAACACACTACTTTTGTTCTTACTGTGCTTTTTTATTTATTTTATAATATAGAAAGGAAAGCTCCTTCAAGGGTAAATTGTGATTATAGAGTATTTGACAAAAGATTAAATCAGTTCCTGCAACAGAAATAAAAATATATATCTTGCAGATTTTTTTAATCCAATTGTAACAATAATAGTACTGGCCAGCTTATCTGAATTAGAAACAGTGATATGCATTCTTCACATAAGATATAGCTCAAGTTTTCGGTATGTCCATAATATATGCATAGTATAAATCTTATAAACCCTTACCAGAGAACAGCCGCTACATGATAAGTTATAGTTATTTATTTATTTATAAAATTTCTAGGCCGCCCCATTTGCCGAAGCCTCGGGGCGGCTTACAAATAAACAAATCAAAATACATAAATAACAATATAAAATACACATAACTATATAGTTAGGCCCTGCTTCAACAATAACAAGTGTAAGCTACTGTCTGGTCTAAATGATGTCTGCTCCAGTTTAGCTATACCCTAAAGAAAAGCTTGAGAATAGTAAATTCTTGCAATGCTTTTGATTTCCGATAGGATTTGTAATTAGAAGAATTATGAATAATATTAGATATATCTACAAGATTCAGATAATCAGAGTTTGAATATCTTGATGTAGAAAGAAGTATCTTTCAAATCTTTCCATTTTGAGGTCATCTCTTAAAAGTACCTGTGCTACTTCACTCTCATGCTCACTTCTTATTTATTAGATTTATATCCCACTTTCTTCTTTTTTTAAAAAACTCAATCAACTTACATCATTCTCCTCCTGCTGCTCTCTTATCCCCACAACAACAACCCCGTGAGGTAGGTTGGGCTGAGAGTTTGTGACTGGCCTAAAATCACCCTGTTGGCTCCATGGCTGAGCGAGGACTAGAACCCAGATCCTCTGAGTCCCAGTCCCATGCTCTTAACCACTACACCACACTGGCTCTCTAACAAAGTAGTCTATCTCAAACACTAGAAAAAGTGTGTATGGATCAGTAACTGAGAAGAGGAGCCAGAGTTAAAGTACTATCTGCCTGCTAACTTGGAAATAATCAAGGTGTGTCATGAATGGAAAAAAATAGTAAAATAAAGTGTCTAGGTACGTAATGAACTCTCACTACACAAATGTAAATGTTCCTTTATTGCTATAGGTTCATTGAATTTAATCTAGTTAGAGAATGATCCTGTGGCCCCCAGATGCTGTCTAAGGGACTATTAGATAGATGAGATTCTTGACTTCCAAGGTTGTAGACAGTATGGTTGGACCCCCCAACTCTAACCTGCAGCAGGCATGGAAAGAATGATACCAACTGTTTTCCATGATTTGGAAACCAACCTAAGAATGAGATTGTAGTGGCCCTTCCAGGAGAGGGAGTGCCCAGGATACAAGGTATCCTGAAGCAGCTCCATCCTTCTTTCCTCCCCATCTGAACCACCATCCCTAGGTAGCTAAACACAGCTGCTGAGTGAAAACTCAGGGTTGTAGGGAAGTGAGGACTGCTTTTGTCTCTTTTCCCACTCTGCAATAGAAGCACATGCACCTCCGTTTGGGCACTTAAGCTCATCTTTTTAGGATTGTGCCTTAATCTGTATTAATAGTTTATTCATCATGGCACATAAAATTTTGAATAATTAAAAGCAAAATATAGCTCCATTGACTCCTGACTGAGATCGGAATCACAGATGTGTACATATTAAGACACAGCATCAGTAAATCAAAACTTGATACACAGTATTTATATATAATATTTGAAATTAGGCTTTTTAATGATTTTCAGAACTAACATTCTGTAGAATTATGAGTATACAGTATATTGAGTGTTAAGAGCTCAAACATTTAGAAGAACATGGCTGCAGTTTGTTTCTCTCTTATTTCTTTGAATTTAAATATTGCTTAACAGTACTGCTGAACTTTAGCTAGCACAGGTGTCTCCTTGCATAAGTTCTGCAATATCAAACATATATACTTTGCATAAATGGATTCACAAGGTCAGCTTTTGCAACATATAGTTATCACCTCCTTTCCTCACATCATAAAAATTTGGGTTCAGGTATGCAAACGTCCCTGCCACTTCTCATAAATAGCCCCCTGCAAATACAGAACAAAGGGAATGGGTTACACTATGGTGCAAGGAAAAGGTGGAAGCAAACATCACTGGTGCCTCTGCTTGACTTTCAAGGCTCTCTCCACTACGCAGCTGCTATGGAGAGCAGGGAGTGAGGGAATTCTGCTGGACCAGTTGTATGTACCTAGATTTAGATATAGATTTAGAGAGCCAGTCTGCTGCTTGAGTTGGAATAGGATAGGTGAGATCTGGGTTCTAGTGCCATACAGCCATGAAGCTTACTGGGTGACATTGTACCAGTCACAGACTCTCAGCCCAGCCTACCTCACAGGCTGGTTTGTTGAGAGTATAAAATGGAGCTATGTATACTGCCTTGGGTTTTTCACAAGTGAAAAAGGCAAGGTATGAATGCACTGTAATAATAGGACAGATGGATGAATGGTCAGATGGGCAGTCAGATAGATCCCATCAACTCAAGTCTGAAACAACTAAAACCCATCCCATTTAACATTTGGGTTGGGTGGTATCTGCTCTTGTAAGTGATACTGAATCTACCAAAAAAAATTCACTGAATTAGCCTCTTGGAATCTGAATATACTTTTTTTCTATTCCTCATGGCTCACAGCTGATTTAAAGACACAGCAGTTAGATAGGGCAAATGTGGGCTGGGCAGAAGAGGCACAGATCCACTTGATCCCAGTGCCTCCTACTCACTGCCTGGTAAGTCAGCTAGATGGATTGAGAGGCCCATCTAACAGAGTATTTTGGAAAAAGGAATAGGAGGTTGCAAAAGCCTTCCTCCTCATGCTTCCTTGTCTGAAGATGGATGGATGAGATCAGAGCCCTCTGTCCCTTAGGACTGTGCTCTGTTACCTTTACAATTTTCTACACTAAAATACTGCAACTTACATACTATAGTTAAATCTTTCAGCTAGGCATGTCAGTTCAGCAGTATATGTATCTCAACTTTACTGTTATCTGGTTCTCAGTTCTTTTTATCCAAAGCATAGCTGTTTTTTCCAAGCGCTAACCAAATATTTAGAAACCTTGTCTCCCTCCCTCCAATAATTGTACAGCATCTTAATTTTGCCACCTCTGTAGTTTTCCAAATTTTAGCTAACTATTCACTGTTTGGATGTAAATCCCCGTATAAAACTTTGGTGCTTTTTATTAATTCCATCTTTTCTAACTGCAGATTATAAACTGGATCCAGAAAATATAAGTTATGATTTAGTCCATTTGAAATTGAGGGGGGCTAAGTTACTCATAGTTAACACATCCTACTGATTTCAATAGTCCTGTGTTCTCAGTCTTAAGAGTCAGAGGCTGTGCATGATTTCTCAGAATTAAATGACACTGTGTTTAGTGGGATTTACTACTAAGTGTGCATGACTGCATCCCCAGAAGAGATCTGAATTTTCTCATAGTATAGATAAGTTCCTTTTTTCTGACACTCATATAAAGTGGTCATTTTCATTTCTGTCTTTAAGAACTATACACTTATGGCTTGTTCTTTACTTCTTCAGCTCCTTGATCAAAAGCCTATTTCTTCCTTCTCTTCTCTGCAACCAGATTCTTAACAAGGTGTGTAGTCAGCATTGCTTAATGCCATGTGTTGTACTGGAAAAGTATGACTATTCTGTAACAAATTAGTTAAAATGTGCATTATATACTGCAAGTTAATAATTAATAAATTAATGAAAACTAAAAATGTGGGCAGAATAGCTTCATAAACAATCCATGCTGTATTTTGTCCTGTTTATATTGCATGTATTTTAACTTCTAAACATTAATGAAAACTAGCTATAGTCATTTATATATCTCATTTAGTTTCTAATTTGGCATCTCCATTAGAAATCCCATTCTTTAGAATGTTTTACCACTGGTTTTGTGCAAACATCTGAGTGCTGAAAATGAAGAATCCATAGTAAGGCTTTTTGTAAAGTAGCAAAAATGGATGGCCTGTACAGTTGTCCCTCCAGTTAGACACTGGGGCTAAAATCCCATGCACATTTAAGAGGAATAAAACCCACCAAAGACATTGGGATTTACTTCTATGTAACCATGCATGAGAATACAGTCTAGGAGTCCCTGAACCAATCAAATGTCCAAAACTGCAATGAAAGCTGTTTACCTGCACTTAAAAAAACAAGTCAGCAGGTTTTCAGTTGCTTCTGCTTAATTTACTCTGTTTGCTTAAAAAATAAAATAATTCCATCTTCTTAGCCACTTTCACTCAAGGAATTCCAAATATTTAAAATGATCCTGATTTTCAAAACACCATACCAAATTGCGGGAAGCAAACAACGTTCTTTGTTTCTTTTCGTCTTTGGCATCTGTGATAGCAATATCTTATTTACAGTGAAGTCCACACTTCAAATCTGCCCTTGATTTTGCATGTTAAAGTATCTGCCAGTCATTCATTTTATCAGATGCCATCATGAAATCAAATATATTTTTCATTAAGAGTTGATTGTCAGTAAAGATTTACTCAAGGCCAGGAGTATCAAACTCAACTTACCTGGGGGCCGCTGGAAGTAGAGTCTGGGTGAGGCTGGGCCGCATCAAGTATTCCACCACCGCGGTGGTGGTGGGCCGCTCATCCCGCGTGGCTCCCGGAGGCGCTTTGAAGGCCGCAGGGCCCCTCCCCCGTGCCCGCCCATCCCGGCAATTGGCCCGCGGGCTGCGAGTTTAAGATCCCTGCTCAAGGCTAACTGAAAACTGAAAGGTGGCAAATTATATCAAAATAAGAGATTAAACCATGTTACCCAACATGAAATTTGCTGTTAATTGGTAACATATGTTTTGCACTTCAGAAAACATCAACCATGGTATAATTATATTTTCAGATGCAGATGGAACTAGAAAAAAATATCACCAAGGAACTAGACCAAGGTATGTCATTTAGCTGCATGCTAACGATTTTTAAATTGTTCCTGCTTTGAATCTGTTACCGAATGATAGCAGCAATGGTATTCCACAGCATTATGACAAAACCACTGTGATATTTCATTAGCTTGCAAAATGGGTATTGGAATAATAAAATCTAAAAGTAAAAGGGTTGTTTTCATGAACATTTTATTTGTATAATTTCATAATGCCATGCAGTAATTCCTATTAACTGGTATTGCATGTTTTTCTGCATGTTTCAGAAATGTAAATTTAATTATTGTTGTACTTGAATTAGTAACTGCATGCCTTTGATCAGTACCAAATATCAACAGCATAAAATTTAAGGGAAAAAATGTCCATGAAATGTTTTGTCATTCTCCAAATGGCTAGCAAACACTGTGTTTGTTTGTTTGTTTGTTTTTTAATGAAGCCATTTTCACAGATTAGTTTTTAAGCAGTTAAGGATAAACATTTATTGACAACTAATCTTAAAACATTGAAAGATATAATATTGCTTAATGAAAAACTGCAAATTCTACTGATCTAGCTCTTACAGGGATATTATGTGGGTGAATAATGTGCAGTATTTCAAAGCTTATACAAATCACTAGCAAACAGTCTATCGGTGACAGATATTACATTTTTAGATATTACTATAATGAATGCTTCTTAATAAAATTCATTTAGTACAAGTCAGGAATTAGTCTACAAAAATGAATATTTCCCATTGTAATTAACTGAATTTAATTTAGTTGGAATTAACGGATTAATTTCAAAGGGATTAAGCAGGACTTGGTATATGGATCCAGCCGAAGAACTTGCTCCCAAGGCCACTCATCCTGAGGTGGGATATCCAAGTTGGATATCCAAACATCTGATGCAACTCTGGGTGGATGGTCAGATGGAATATTCAATGTTTCCTATTTTATTTCTAGCCACAGGCCTGCATCAGAATTTTCATTAAAGCATTCAGTTTGGTGCATGTTAAAGAGTTAGATAGCCACAATCAGTTGTCTTGCTTACTTGTAGGGTGGAAGGTTTAGGGAGGTAAAGATAATATCTGTACTCCTCCTGCCTTCATAGTATACCAATAATCCACATTCAGAGCTTCCCCACTGGATTGTGCCCAAAGAAAATTTGTCCACACTGCTGAAATAAGGGCAACTTATCCAAACATAGATTGCTAGAAAATGGTTGTCAGCATTTCATAACTCCTTTTAACAGTTTGTATATTTGTGTTTGCAAAATAATTAACTTGTTTTGTTGCCTCCTTGATGTCAGATATGTGCAGCTAATAGGAAAGCATAAGCTTTTCTTGTTTTTACAGCTAAAGCTGAACTTGACACTGGATCTGTTAGAGTCTCCCCTATAGGAGCTGTTGATGGAACTTCAAAAAACCTAAATATGGAACAAGATCAAGTGTCCAAGGCTACACAGCAGTATCTTGATGTTTTAAAGAAAAACTATATGATTTAAATAAATGCTGATGAAAAAATAGAGATGTTGTTTCATTACACAACATTATAATGAACTGAACATGTAAAATGTGCAATCTTTTATACTCCGAATCCTATTATAAGCATATCAGGCACATTGCACTTGTATTGGAAGAAATACTGCATAGCCAAATGTTACATGTTATCAAAGCCATATTTCCTTAGCAAATACTTTATGTTTTACAGAACTGCCCATGTTATCTGCTACAGATGGCTCATATTTTATCCTGTTATATGTAGATTTTAAACCAAAGCATTTCCTGAAACATTTAGCAAACATTTTTTCTTTGTTTTTAATAAATTGGTATATTGTCAGGTAATAGTTAAAATGCTTGTCCAGTACACTTGTTTTGTATCCTCTCCTGCACTCAATACACATGCAACACTTCCACTTCTCTCTAGCAATTCCACAGAGGATAGGAGTGCAACACTGAGAGGTCAACATTTGTAACTTTACTGCAGTATTCGGATATTCTATTGCAACCACAGTGCCAAGAGACTTGTCATTTGTATTTTTAGATGATGTATGAAATGCACTGAAGTTATAATTGAATAAAATCGGTGTACATGAAGCTGTTGATATATCATTCCTGGAGTTAATAGTGATTCATCTTCTACCTCCAATTTTCCAAGGGTGGTGCTATAGGTCTGCTTCACTGATACAGCCAATCCTCGTTTAACAATACACATAGCTATTCTTGATTTTTAAGAAACTATGAAATTGATAATAGCTAAGATGTAAGAAAAATATCTAGATAAGATTTCATAATAAAGATATTACAGAGGTGGTATTACGTACCAAGATGATCCACAGGCCCACAGAAAAAAATGCACACATTTGCATATGCTAATTTACATAAACTTAGACTGTTGGGGGATCCTGTTTGTAAAAAGAAAGAAAAAAGATCTATGGCTAGGGGATAGCATACCACTTGATTTCAGAAAAATACTCAGGCAATTCTCCTTCCTCCCTGTAGTACCTGCCACCGCTAAAATCTTTGGAGGATTGCAAAACCCTCCAAAGATGGGAGCTACAAGGAGGAAAAGGGAAAGCGTTTTGTAATATTTGATCTAGGGCCTATATTCTAGGCCCATAATTTTGCCCTAAATTTGCTAGTGTATTTACATTTAAAGCTGGTGTTTAATGACAATAACTAAAAGGCCCCTCACATATTTTAAAGGGATTTGGTAGTTTTGTATTATCTGTGTTCTGTATTTAAATGCAACTTTAAAAAGTTTTTCAAAATAGTTTACTTCATCTTAATTACTGGACTATTTATAGGTATTAATTCCAGTAAATATTTTCATTTTCCCTGACTATATTTTAGGTATTTTTCACTGAATTTTTGCCCCATTAGCATTGCCTAGAGATAAATGAACTCTTGACACTCCAGAAGCATGGCTTTGTGTCCAAGCCATTACTTTTTCAATTTCATTGAAAGAAACTACAGAGGGCCTAGATTCAGTCCTCCAGATATCCTAGTCGGACTGCTAAAGACCCTCCTGAAATGGTGCACAGGTGCAGCCAATCAGAGCTATGTGGAACAGTAGTCTGTGTAAGGTAATTTATTGTGTTCTTAACTGAATGCAATTCTGCAACAATGCTAGAAAAAGAATGCTTAAGAAATACATTGTTCTCTTGGCATGGTACATTGGTTGAATTTGCCTAGGCCTGTGAATTAGTAGAATAGGGATCCATACTCCAATCTTGTAGATTTCAATGGGCTGTTCACCTTCAGTAGCCTAAACACTTTATTTGAAAGCTTTTATTTTGCTTATACAGCAGAGCACTGTAGCTTCTTGGGTCCCTTAGTCTTTTATAATTGAGATTGTGCTTGATTTCAAGATCCTTAACACCCCTAAAGCTAAGACAGAAGAGAAATGAAGGAATTTACACGGTCAGGCTTATTCTGGAACAGTTCCTGTCAACCAAAAAGCCAATGAAGGGTGACTTCTAGGATGTACAGGTGATGGGACAATATGCAAAGAGGTCCACCACTACTGATGTGATTTTCTGACACATAACCTTTTGTGTTATTTTTGTTTAGCTCTAAATGCAAACAATAACAAAACTAGTAGAGACTAAAAAGAAATTTGGATGTATAAAGCATGCCCTTTTAATGGCTTAGTGGCATATTTTCATGCACCTAAATTTGCATTACAGTTCCAGAAAGTAAGAAATGGTCCACAAGTCTTTACAACTCAGAGAATCCCAGTCCACAGCAGTTTGTGTGGCAGATTTGTAGAAAACTAAAGTCACATGAATTCATTTTGGAGTTCTCTGACTAACCCTAATACGTACCTGCTTGAGTAAGAACCCAGAACTAGCCTGCAGCATGTGCCTTACTTTGCTACAGCAATTTCAAAAGCAAAGTTCAAGTATGCTACGTTATGAACTACTGTCCTTTGCTTGTGTAGTTGCTTTGTTTAAAAAAAAACTCTCAAAAGCCATTGGTAAAAGGTAGCCTTTAATATACATATCAAACCATAACATTCAAAATAAAGAGTACAAACTAGTAAGGTTATTAACACATCTTGTAAAAAAGTATGCTATCCTATAAATAGTTCTGTACAGCCTGAAAGAGGAAGTCCTTTTGTATTCTTGTTCTTTAATGTACAACTGAATTCAAAGGTTCTGCTCGAATATTTCCCAGGTCAAGTGCAGAGTCTGTTTCTTCATCAATTTCTCCAATTACAGCACTGCACATCAAAATGAAATAAGTACAATAAATATACAGTATGAAATGTGGACTGCACTCTCATAGACATTTTTAATACAGGACTCAGCTACTATTTACCATGCACTAACTTTCAGATTTGATTTTTTACAGCAACTTTCATAAGTAGTGCCTTTCTACAACTAAGATAGAGTCAAATTGGGTAAAATGTTTTATTTTACTTTCTACCTATTACAACCAACACAGCAATCATAATCAGCCAGATTACTCAGAGCTTAGGGTGAAATCCTTTCATTGCCTACCTAAATGCATCAGTGAGATTTAGTTTGAGAAAATATAAAAAACCTGAATTATATATGTCTATGCTGAAAGAAGTAATGTTGGTTGAACAGGGCTTACTATAGCATAAATGTGTACAGGACTGCAGCCTACATCAGAAATGGGCACTTGTTCTTCAGATGTGTTGATCTCCTCACCACTAGCTAAGCTACTGGTGTGATGGAAATTGTATGCCAAAATATTTGGGGGACAGTGGGAGGTGGGGAGAGAGATTGCTCATCACCGAAGTTAACAGTAAATTTATGCTCCGGGTAAAAAAGCTGGTTGTCTAGTTACTGGAAGATGAGAGTTGGAAATCTGATTTTTAGAGTTAGAGAATGGATAGTGTCAGCAAAGCAGGCATATCAACAGCAGTGTTACATATGTATCAAAGGCTAGATCACAGGGAAGAGGAGACTAAGTTGTAGAGCTCTTACAGTGTGACCTTCCTAAATTACTAAAGCAACATGTCCAAAATACAAGAACATGGCCTGAAATTTTGCATTGGTGAGCAGTAGCACGGAGAGCCCTAGCAAAGGCACCAAGAGTATGTATAAAGCATCTTGTTTTCAAACAGACTATCCAAGCCTTGCCAGATGTACAATTCTGTACTACACCTCTGGCTGTATTAACACAGAAACAGAAACACCAAACTTACACATTATCTCCTCTTACGATGTATAATCCTAATACTACTTGTTCTACTCCTTGTGAAGAACTGAACACTCTTTCATGGCTTTCATCCAAGATCAAGTTGATGGTTTGATCAAAACCCTTGAGTGTTCCCTATAAATATTTTTTAAAAATGAGATGTTTAATATTTTCACATTTATTCTGGTTCCTAAGCACATCCTAAATATATCATTACACATTTAACAATGATAACAGCTTTTAAAAATTAAGCAGATTATTATTTAGTAATTCTTCAGCATAGCTTCTTACACCAAATTATTATAAACTATCCATTGAACATTTGTAGCTTTTCCCAACAATTATATTAAGGAAGGAAAATAACACTATACAGATCACTGATAACTGCATTTGGCCATCAAATTCTATATATTAAACTTCATCTCTTCATGCCTGATCATTTGAAATTCTGACAAAGCAAGCATATTTTCTGCAAGAGATTTTCATGCTATTGTTTATAAAAATACATGAAATGCTCACTTGACTAATTATGACAGTAATTCCAGTGGCAACTAATCTAGAAAATAGAGACTTGAATTTATACTTTCCCTCTGAAGGGAGAGCTAGAAATCTAACTTCTTCCTCCTTGCAGGGGGTGTGAAAAGAACCACAGTGGCTGCCCACCAAGCTAGGGAGCTCAGCTTCAATTGGGGGGGTGGGGGACCAGAATGTTTCAGTGAATGGGGAGGAAAAAGATGAGAGGCTAGGATGAAATTCATCCTGAGCCTCTGCCAACATCTGTCCCTCCCCTCTGAACTGCCTCCACTAAAGGGGCAAAAGAGCCTATGTAACAACAACAGAACAGGGAGGTAAAGACTGCCTTACCAGTCCACCCACCTGGCACAGGATGACCAGAAAACTCTGAATTTGGAAGTATACAATAATTAAGAACACAACTGATGGGACTGCACTCTAAATAAACCTTTGGTCTGGTCCAGCAGAGCTGCTCTCATGTTCAAGAATTCAGAAGTAAACCCCACTATGTTTAATACAACTATTCCCAAAGTAAGGTGCTCAAAAGCCTCCAAAATCAGCAGTTTCTGCCTAGCATGTTTCAACCAGATAAGGCTGTACTGTTGCCACTAAAAACACCCCAAAACACCCCATAGTTAGCCTGAGAAAGGCCACATAGTAGAAGCACCACAGCCATCCTGCAGATCCTGTCCAAGAGGGAGGGGAGGAATTGAGAGATGAACCCTGTGGGAACTCCTGTGATTGGAATCTCAAAAGAGGGCAAATAGGTAGAATTGCTGGTACCTGAAACTGGTTTAAATCTTAATAAAAGCAGAACAATACATTATGAATTATAAACACAAGGCTGGTGTGAATGGTTGGAAGATTATTAGCAGACATATGGAGAGGAAGTCCTTGGGAGAATAAAGGATTATTCAAGGAAATAACAAAAGGTGTCAATTAACAATATGTGAATGTATCTACCATGTATCTGGACATCATGCCTGTGACATAGAGTATATAATGTATGCTTTTTGTACCTCTTACAAGATCCTGATTTGGGGAGTATGTCCCCCTTCGACTTGAGAATAAAGTGCACTAGAATAAAGCTGTGTTTGCTTTAAGTCTCATCTCAGACTTTTTCTGACCTGAGGGTATGGGTCCACCCGGAGTTCAACAGCTGAATGAGATGTGATCTAAACTATGAATAAGATGACTGCTTTAATGGAAAATAGGTTACTAAAAACAGTGAGGTCCACAAGTATGACTCTTGCAATTGTATCTAATTATGTTTCAGTAACAACTACTTTATAAAAACATAGCATTTACATGTAACAGAGCTGCTTACCACAATCATTCGACCATCTGAAGTAATTACAGCAACAGTACCTGAGATTCAATTAAAGAACTGCCTTGTATATTATGATGAAGATAGGCTTACTCTGGGCCAGTCTTCTATCATTGTGCATTTTATGAAGTCACAAGAGCATTCACATAATGTAGCTTAGGCTGTAGATCATAACCATCCATGCACTTCATGACTCAGATGGGATTTGGAGCTGGCATTCTCACATGTAAAAGCTCCCAACTTTTTGGCAACTTTAGAACAAGTATACACGTTCCTAAATACAAGGTGGCAGTCATGCTAAGGGAAGGCACCTTCTGACCAGAAATTTGTTTAATGTTTATTCTATTCTATTCCACTTTTTTTGCTGCAAGGAGCCCAAGGCAGCTTACATAATCTTTCTCTCCATTTTATCCTAAAAACAATTCTGTGAGTTAGATCAGGTTGAAAACCTGTAACTGACCCAAAGACACCATGTGCACTGCATGATTGAGTGGAGAGTACAAGCCAGATCTCCAAACTCTTACCCAACACTGTAAACATTAGACAGCCTGGATTATTTGTAGCTACTGTCCATGTAGGAGAAGGCTTTTCCTGGGTGCTCGATCACACTACAAGGGAATCCTTGCTTCTGCATCTAGCTCAACCAACCTCTCCCCTTCCCAAAGCCTGCAGGATGAATCTGGGGACCGAGCAGCGAAATAAACAGGCCTCGCCCGCGAAGACCCCGATTCGTGTTAATTACTCTTCGACGTTAAAGGGTAATTAACACTGAAACCTCTTGCGTTGCCCCTTGTGGCCTCCCCGACCCACTCCCGCCTCAGGACCGCACAACCCCCACGGCAGCGGAAGGATACGGTTAATGTAGCTTTCCAACGCGGAGGTCATAGCGGCGGCCCTTGCTTCAGCCTAGAACTCGGCCCTGAAGTTGCCGCGAGACTTTCTGAAACGAGGCGCGGAACGGACAAATCGCTACATCCGGACCCGAGTGCTATCACTGCGCACGCGTCGGTGATGCCGTAGTCCCTTGGCGCATGCGTAGAGCGTATGTTGCAGACGTTGCAGAGTAAAATATGGATAAGTGCTATCTTCCCCTGAAGACTGAATTTCCTGGTTCCTTTTGCCCGTTCGCATCCTCAAGGTGCAAATGACAAGCCTTTCACAGAAAACAAGATTCAGTCATCCTGTTCCTAGACAACAGTGCATTTACTCCCAAGTAAAGTTGGACTGTCCCGTTTTTACTCTTGTAATATTTTCTGTAGGAAATGTGCATAGCAGGTAGAAAGTTATTCTTTAGCTTTTTAACACTTAGAAATTGCCCTGAGGTGCCAATACATTGCCTACAATATTACCCTAAGGAGAATGCAAAGAACAGCAGGTTTATTTTGAGGTAGACAGCAGAACACGGGCTCCCCAAACTCAAGTAGATTAAAATCATGGAATTTTCTTCTTGTTTTCTATGGATAGTTCGTAATTCATTCCTCGCTGTGGGTTCTCTTGCGGGGGAAGGTGGTGGTTAATTGTGAACAAAGTAGCCCGGAAGTTAGCAGTCTCGGAAAGTATAGGTATATTAACTCTATTTTTGAAGATTTAACAGCCGGATGTCTTAAAGTACTGCGCTCGGATGGCGCGAGAGGGCGGGGAAAGCGAAAGTTTCTGGCTGCGCATGCGCACGCGGCATTGATTTTAGTCGCCGCATGTGGCGGGTTTCCTTTTCCTTCTTCCCAGTCTTGTTGCTTAGTGGGCGTGCGGGGTGTGGGGAATATTTATCTCCGGAATAATTTGTTCAGATCTATTACTGCAGTCTTAGGCGAAGTTATTAGGACTGTACTCTGTAAATGGCACTGAGATTTATTTCCAAGTAAATATACATAGCTTTCATTCCGCTTTCTTAATTTTTTATTTTCAGAGTTATCCTGCTAATTCAAGCATTACAGTCAACGTTTTCTCTACTTCGATATTTAAAAATTGTAACGTCGTTTCAGTATTTTGTTGAATCAAGTGCGTGTTTGGAAGCGTATTGCTTATGAGAAAAGGCCAGAGTGGATGCAGGCAGGAGCCAAGTACAGGGTGGACAGTGCAGTCCTATTTAGAATTATGTCTCATTTAGTTTCATGGACTTTGCTCCCAGGTAATCTGGTTTAGGATGGCAATATATATTTTAACACAATCTTACACATATTGTAGGGTGCCATTTTCTCTGCTGTCTTTGTGCCTTAGCAGTTGATTGCTTTAGTTTCTACAGGCAAGAATGTTAGCTGCAGTGCAGTCTGTTCCATGATGACATAAGGAAAAGGAAAAAGAGAAGGAAACAGCACTGAAATTCATAGGCTGCTGGATTAGTTCTTTAGTCAGATTTGTTAGCTGTTTGAGGAGAGGGGTCATATTCTTATGCAGCATTTGTTTGTCCAAATTTGCAAACTATAAGTACGCCCTGGAGTATTCTCTTCACAATAAAGTCACTGTAAATGGACAGTGTTAGTGCTATATAGTCTCTCCTACATGAGTGTAGGCCAAGGATTCAGAACATCAGGCTTGGACCAACTTTAGCCCTCCAGGTTTCCCCAGAAATCCCCTTCCTTTCCCTTCACCACCAAATTGGGTGGTTTCTGGATTTTGTCTTACTAATTTTCAATAAGATTAGCATGCCTTTTGTAAGGGTTAGTTATTGGTATTAAGATTCTGAAGTTAAAATACACTGGTATTCTAGTATTTAGGCCCTGCCCCTTTTACCTTTGACCTTGCTCAACTCAGGAAATTTACCCAAAATGGAATTTGAAATATGTTTTGTATCCCTGTTTTTGTCTGTTTCTTGGTGAGATGACACCAGTAATGCTTGGTAGCCTATTATTACAATGGAATTCCAGAATGGAGTGACTTCTTAGCCAATGGCTGACCATGACATCAAACAATTCTAAAACTGCAACACTTGCCCAATCCTGCAATTTTTCTGATGTCATTTGACCCCATTTTTCTTGAAAAGAGACTTGTGCTAGCATGTATTCAGTACAATTCCTATTGGCCAGACATTCAGAGAGTATTGTTACTCAGTTGTGCAATCACACCCAACTTTTCATGACCCCATGGACCATAGCACAGCAGGCCCTCCTGACCTTCACTGTTTCCCAGAGTTCACCCAAATTTACGTTCATTGCATCAGTGACACTATCTAACCATCTCATTCTCTGCCATCCCCTTCCCCTTTTGCCTTCAATCTTGCCCAGCATCAGGGTCTTTTCCAATTAGTCCTTCCTTCTCATTATGTGGTGGAAATATTTGAGCTTCAGCTTCAGCCCTAAAGAACTTTCAGGGTTGATTTCCTTTAGGATTGACTAATTTGATCTCTTTAGTCCGAGCGACTCTCAGGAGTCTTCACCACCACAATTCAAAAGTGTCAGTTCTTTGGCGCTCAGCCTTCCTTATGGTCCAACTCTCACAGCCATACATTACAACTGGGAAAACCATAGTTTTGACTATATGAACCTTTGTCTGCAAGCTGATGTCTCTGCATTTTAGCATGCGATCTAGATTTTTCATAGCTTTCCTCCCAAGGAGCAAGTGTCTTATAATTTCTTGCCTGCAGTGATCTTGGAGCCCAAGAAAATAAAATCTGTCACTATTTCTATTTCTTTCCCATCTATTTGCCAAGGAGTGATTGGACTGGATGCCAAGATCTTGGTTTTTTTTTATGGTGAATTACAAGCCACCTTTTGCACTTTCCTCTTTCACACTCCTCTTTCATCCTTCTCTATCAGAAAATATATGCAGTCATTATTAAGTCAGTCCCCAAGGAGGATAAATTCTCACCACAGTTAACATCATAATGGATACAACTGTTACTGGGGGAACCTAAATTGGCTCTTGCATCATATGAAATGGAAAGTTGTGCCTGAATCCTTTCCTTAAGATGGACAGACTCCCCAGCCAAGGGGAGACATGGATGGATATCTGCTTGTATTATCTTTTGGTTTGCCCTATACAGTTTTTGTGGGGAATCAGAGAAATCAGATCCTCTAACAGGCAAGAGATCACTCAACATAATCGGCTCCACTGAGGAAGAGGGACACTTTTGCTGGGAAGGGGCCTTCATGTTATTGAGGAAATCCATTCTGATCATATCCAGTCTTGCAATAATTCTCAGTTCTTCAAGTGCTAAGCCCTTAAAAATCTTAATTTCTGCTTCTTCCATATTTGTGTCATCAATATCCAGTTGCAATAAAATATCCCTTGATGGAGACCTTGTGGCTTCCTCACCCTTTGTGAATCTGAGGGTGGCCATTGTTTCCATCCTGGCATCCCACTGAAGGCCTTTCCTAAAATTAAATTTAGGGAATAATGGGACTAACTTGGGGTTGATGAAAACTCTGGAAACAAATATCTCTCTGCTTTTGAGGAAGCATCTGCTGTCTTGGATTGTTTGTATTGGATCGGGTTTCCTCGGTGTCTCTACTCCTTTTCTGAGGCCTCATCACTTCTCGATACAGAGCCCTCTAAACAGAAACAGGTCCTGCTAACAATTTTAAAGCAGAAGTTTCTTAATTAAAGCACCATACATTTGTAAAAACGGCAGGGCATAAACATCCCAGACTTTCAGCTTAAAAGCAATAGAAAGAAAAAGAACAAAAAGAAAATGTCCACCGTTAAAATATAATAAGTGCTTGGCGTTCATTATGCTGCTGCTCCAAACAAACATTCAAGCTGACCAAGTAATCTTATCAGGGCTTGGCCGAGATGCAGTGTTGTTATTCTGTGCATTGAAAGGTCTGAAGCACCTGAGGAACAGGTATTTGGAGTATTTGGCAATTAATAACCTCCAAATGAATGATAATAAATTTAAAATGCTTGGTTTTGCCAAAGTATGGAAAATACTCAACTAGAAATTTAATGAGGAAAAAATAGAACAGGTAAAGCATTTCAATATTTGGATATCCATTTTCATTTTAACCATATTGGAGCTTTCATTGTAAAATCCCTACAATCTGGCACAGATTACTGCTCAATCAATTCTTCAGGTTTTTTTTAATCATAATAGGGGAAACAGATATGTGCCCACTGTTCTAGAAATCTTTAACACCAAGGTTGTTCTGCAGTTACTGTATGGAATCCCATTATGGATGGGGGCTGTGGATTATTTCATGGAATTATTGATTAAATCATTTGAATGCATGTTCCTTTGGAAAATCTTCATGTTGCCATGCTGCATTCCTTAGGCTGCTTTCTGCTTGAAGATGGACCAGTCTTTGGTGGAAACTGGAGCATGGCTGATGTCCATCAAATTTGGGTTAAGAATCCATTATAACTCTGAGCAGTGTAGCTTTCTCTACATTTACATTCAGACTCTGATGCTCTTAATGAGCTAACCCATATTGAAAAGAAAATTAGATGTATAGGTCTATTGTTGGATCCATTAGGATTGCTCTTCCAAGTGGAAATATACTGAAGGATTAAACACAGGATTTTAAATATTGAATTGCAAAACCTACAGAATGTGGCAAACAAGGTGACGTCTCCTTTTAATTCAATGACCTCCATTAAATATGGTGGTTGGCGCCATATCTATATTATTTACAGTGTTCCCAGAAGCGTAGAGCTTTTACGCTGGCCAGATTTAGCATTATGCCTTCAACAATTCTACATGAAAGATTCCAAAGGATACCATATAATGGGAGTCTGAACCCCAACACATGGGATAATCAATTGGGACTGAAGTCAATCTCACCTATATTCCTATACTGGAAGTGGTAGAAATGTTGGGGCGCCTCATTCTTGTTGTGAAGAAACCAACTTGATGGACTGCATTTACTCAGGTTGGATAATGGATCCTAATATTTCTGAAAACAGCACCCATGTAGGTTGAAATCTTTCTGTATGTCATGTCCCCAACCGAGCTCCCATATCTGTATG